AATGGAGTTATTTTACTGAGTTTCATTAGATCAGGAAAAACACCACAGTCAACACATTGATTAAAAATGCTAGCCAAAATAGGAGCTATTGTCTCAATTACTGATCCAGAAACATCCACGGAGTTACCCCACAGATCCGCAGTTTTCTTTTTATTTAATTGGTTGAAATATTTTATTACATCTTTACAGTTAACATACTTAAATTTAAATTGACTAGTATATTGTTTTGTGTGTTCTTTTAATATTGATTCAGCCGCAATGGGGGACGAGTTCAAAGATTTTGTAGTTGAAACTGGAATATCAGTGAAAAAGTTCTCAAATGCTGTAGCAACTTCAACATCTGATGTAACATTTCTATGTTCAATGTTTAAATTAAAACTAGTATTTCGAGTTTTAGATTTTCCAGTTTCATTGTTTATAATGTTCCAAGTCATTTTGATTTTGTCATTACTATTCTTAATCTTACTACTTAAATAATTTGATTTTGCTGTACGACATACTTTTTTAAATAACTTTGAATAATTACGTACGTACTCTTTGAATCTTTCACTAGTATTAATGCTGCGTTCATTGTAAAGTTCATAAAGTTTCCTTCTACTTTTATGTATGCCTGGGGTGGCCCACTCGCTGAAAGTTACTGCATCACTAACACATATGGTTTTGGGAACAAAGACATCATTAAATTCTTTACAAAAATTATTAAAAAAATCATTATACATATCATTTGGACTACTTTTATACTTTAAATAACTCAAACTCCTATCTAATTGAATTTTAAAACGCTCTATACGGTTAACAGATTTTGGCACAATAGTAATATATTTCTTGGTGATATTTTTATTTGGATGTGGAAAAGTAATCATCTGGCCACAATGATCACTATCCAGTTGATTAACAATTACTTTTGAATGTGGTATTATATCCGTATAAATATTGTCAATACAAGTGGCTGAAGTGGCAGTTATTCTAGTAGGCTCCATGAACAAGTTTTCAAGATTATATGATTGAAATAGATTTCTTAAATTAATACTCAAATTAGAGGTTTCTAATAGATTAATATTAAAGTCACCACAAACAATTAATCGTTTACCAGTGTTGACAATTTTTTCTAAAGCTTCATCCATAATAGTTTCAAAACAATCATACAATGCTGAAGGAGGTCTGTATACACTCAGTACAACAAGCTGGTCCAGTTCCACACAGGCAATCTCTATTGTTCGCTCAACCGAGAGGCTCACAATATCATTACGTTCCTTAAATTTAAGTGCCTTATTTAATAAAATTAAAGAGCCACCGCGAATCGCATCTTCTCGACTGAACGAACTACCAACCTGATGATTATTAAAATTAAAGATGAATTGATGACTTTTAAGCCAATACTCTGTGATACAAAATATATCTATATTGTTACAATTCAAAAATAATTCAATTTCTAAGTCCTTACCCATCATTCCTTGAATATTTATATGCATCAGGTTGATCAATTTTACATTTTCTTTTAATTGTTTGGGATTTTTCTTAATTAAATTAATATTTTTATGCAAGTTATACAATAATTATTTATTATTAAGCAAGACGAGTTGTCTGTTGTCTCATTATTTAATTTAAACAATAGTTATTATTTTGTAATTTGTCAGTAGAAGAATTACTGACTGTCAAGTCAATGGAACATTGCTCAATAAAAGCAATTTGTTTAGCCAAGTTTTTGGCTGTTATATAAAAATAATATGATAGCGACTTAGCTATCTGTCTTTTATAATAATTAGAAAGATAATATTTATCTTTGGTCAAATATAAATTTCTAACATAATTGTTAGTGTCAATAATATGAAATTTTTCACTTTTACACATTGTGAACAAAAGCATATTTAATTTATATCTTAAGATATTTTCCTCCTTTGGCAGACTTCTACAATAGGGCAATGAAAACAATATAATTTTTTCAACATTCAATGAGCTCAGGTCATTGACATATTGAATCAATGATTTTTTGTTCAAATTGCCTCTATTTCCCACAAAAAATAACAAAGTAGTGCATTTACTATAATTCTGTTTGATTGCATTTCCTAAGATATCCTTATAAGAAACATTAGGCATACAGTGATTGATAATTGAATTTCCCATTTTAGATAAAAGAGGGCCCATGCCCTTGCCAATTTCATCACTAAATAATATGATTTTTTCATATTTATTATCTAAAACTAAGTTGTCCGAGTGAATTGTTTTCACTGAAGTCAAGCATTCCTTTGATGGCTGCTGTGGGGAACTAATAGTTACATGTTGTGATATGGAGGAATCACAATTGACAGGTGACTGAGCTGTTAACTGTTTACAATCACATGTGTGATTGTTAGTTAAAGAACTCTTCTGACAAGCCTTGTCTTCGTGAGAAAAATTTTTCCAACGCATTTATCGATGATGGAAATTCCTCACAAATTTTCTTTTCTAGAATCTGAAAATTCTCACAAGACTCAATAATATTTTTATAAAATAACAATGCAGGTCCACTTAAATATGCCGACAACACAACTCTTTTTGTATCATCGTTGAAATTATTGATGGCGGCGATGATATTAAATTGACGAAAGAAATCGGTTACATCACCTTTTCCGTCGAATGTGGTCCTGGTCTCCATCTTTTTAAAACTATTTCTTTCTTGATTTAAAAATATACTTCACTCGCGGTACTAGAATCTACCCGGCGCCTCCACCATATAGAGTTCTACCCAGAAGGGATAGAACCTGGGGACGTAGATATTAATTGAAAGATACTGGTAGAGATAAGTTATTTATTTTGTATTATCATTCAGGCTAATATAAAGTATTTTATCTAAATACGAGAGGATTTCTTGGTGCCTGAAGATCTAATAATCAATGGAACCTTCTATCAAAAGACAGACGATTCCTTATTTCAAATCTTAAAATCATGACATTAACTTTTTAATATAACTGCCAACCGTAGGCATTGCAAAAGCAAAGAGTTTACCTAAACAAGGAGGCTGCAACGTCAAGGACGTTACAGTACCCTACGACTTCTTGGAGAATTAAGAATAGTTTTATATTTTTGGATAATTAAACCAAATGGAGTAAAATTTATGTTATAATGAAATGAAAACTGCGATATTTCTTATAGTGTTGAAATTATATCCATCGTAATACTTCAGTATAGTGTTGAAATTATATCCATCGTCTCATTACCAAAATATCGGCTGGTATTGCAACTTGTCTTAAGATTACAGTATTTTTTTAAAATTACAATATCACTATCTAAAGTGATCATCTTCGCAGTAGGTACAAATAAGCAGCCATTCTTGAGATATGTGTTCCAACTAAAACGGCTTTGTTTTATATGTAGATTATCCGAGTAAACTATTGAATTGTGTTTGTTTTATTTCGCTTGTAAAGTCCTAAATTTAATTAAGCTAGATATTTAAAATTGCCACATTAATCGACTGTTATAAAGGCGGTACGCAGTTCGCCGGGTCAGTCAATTATAATATAATTGCAATGTACTTATTCCCAACATCACTAAGCATTTGTATTTTTCTAAATTCTAAATAATAAATAAATCAAAATGATCTCCACAAATAGGATCGCTGAGCTTATGTGGACATTTATATTTTTATTTCATTCAATCCTTTATAATAATTGGCAAATTAAAGCCACAATTATTTGGTGTCAGGGTATATCTAACGAATTAAATCTTTGGTTCAGAAAATAAGTTATGAGTATGCAGATCGGGTCGAATTCCTGATTTGCAACAAAACGCGTTTAATATCGTACTATATTGGTAAATCAAATCAAGATATAGGCCAGTAATGAATGGGTTTCTATGGCTTCTGTCGCACCTTCAAACTCGTTTTTTTCGACAATAACATTTATTTTATAATAATTAAGGTTACCTACATAATAAATGGCGGAAAATGCAACTCAACATGCAATATAAAAAAGAAAATCATATTCTAAGAAAAACAGTAATCTCTCTAAGCTGGCGTTTTTGTATTAAATTCAACGATATAATGGCTGGTTTATATTATCTTAGTGTTTAGTAGAGTAAAGCAGGCGAGTGCTTTAGTAGAGTTGGTAACGTGCCATTCCAGTGGCAGTTTACACTTGTTCCAGTAGAGTGCCATTACTGGGCATTGTAATGGAACAAATAGAAGAAGAAATTTTATTTGAATTAAATAAACGTCCATTGCCTCTTTTATTTTATTATATGCCGTATGTCTGGCCTGTTTATTTTTATAATCATTACGTACTTTTTACATTCCACGAACATTCAGAGTCGTATCTTCTGACCATTTCGCCATGTTAATTTATGCACGCGTCCCTGCACTAATGCACTCTACTAAACTTTGACTTAATTGTCCGTTTACACACTGCGAGTAGCAAGGATAGTAAAGCGCGGGGGGATGAGCGTGCGCGGGAGGGGTGCCACTGGAAACAGAAATAGTAATCGATCCTATTTCATTTCTAGTTGAAAGGCGAGTGGAATCGTACTAAAGCGAAACACTGGAAGCTACCGTTTACACGTTTCTACTAAATTACTCTCCAAAAGCACTACTAAACACTAAGATAATGTAAACCAGCCATTAAATACCCTAGCTACACCAAGTGCGCTCAAAATGTGTCCCAATCAAGAAGTGCTTGAACACCACTCAAGCACTTCTTATTTCACAGTCACGCGCGGACTGTTGAAAAGTCAAGATGCCGCAGAGCTCCGTGAAAAAATGCGAAAAAATACTTATAGTATGTTTTTAAGTGTCATTTAAGTGTTTATCTAATCAATATTTGTTAATTTAATGCATCTTACGGAGCTCCGTGGATCGTCTAATGTACCTTTTGGACAGGTATCCGCCACGATTTTGTTCGTGTTGCTGTATCTAGGGTATTTAATATCGTTGATTAAATTGGTAAAAAAAATACCTCAAACCAATTTATAAAGAAGAAGTAAACAATACCACTTACAATAACAACAATATTTTTTTATTTACATTTCAGCATCCACTTAGTATGGTTGCATTTTCAATAGCACTGTCTGGAATTGGTTGGGCAGTAGGTAAAGCGGCAACATTGATGGACAACATGAGTGCTGGCAAGTCTTTACATCCACCAGATGACTTAGGTATGATCTATTCAAATTTATTTCTAAAACAACTTGTAATATATGCTAAGAACATTAAATTTGCTCTAACTGCATTAAAAAGTGAGTTTACAAAAACAATGTTAAAAACACTGCATTTATATATAGATAGGTCCCACAAATGACTCCACTTCACCTAGTGTTAAGTGACGGCGCAGTCCAGACAGGAAGATAGTTGGTACAGCAGTTCTACCTGCCACACCAGCCATCCTCACCCTGCCGGCCTGCATGCCTTTTCTTTTGAGTGTGGGTATTCCAGGCGGATGGCATCTCCCCGCAGGGGGAGTCTACTCTCCGTCTGGAGCCTCTAAACCACTTGAACCTGAGGGGGTCGGCTCAACTAGAGGGCGTCTCTGAGAGCCTGCATGTTGCTTCTTCACGCCTCTTTTAAAGGATCCAAGGTTGTAAGAGGGAGGGAACACGTGAGCGGGCAGAGCATTCCGTTCACTGGAAGTCACTGGATGAGACTGTTGAGTAGAAATCTTTAGAGCCTTCAAAGATTACCACACTGATCGATCCTGAAGCTCAGCTGTGGGCGTCCTATGGTTGAATGATGATAATTTCTATAATGCAATTTGGGTATATTATTATTATTTACTTAATAAAATAAATCTAAGAGTACCTCGCAGACTCGAACGCAATTGTCGTGATAAAAAATTATTTTATATTCCATTTAATAGAACATGTTACGTTAAAAATATGTTTACAAGACGTGCATGTATAACGTTTGACCAAAATGAAAAACTTACCACTATTGATATATTTAACACATCATTAGGCAAAATCAACTTTAAATTATACACTGTTTGATTATGTATGTAGATTAGAATTTAATACTCACACATGTAACGCAAATAGGCTTTTCATCACATTTACTTAAAGTTCTTTAGTTTAAATTGATTGGCGCTAATTTGTTTACTTTAAAAGGTTTTGTTAACAATTTCGTCGCTGTGTGGCGGGGGCTCGGTGGGTCGGGATTGGTTGATTGTGCAGGTTGGCTCGGCTTTTCGTCTGTGGGAGCCCGGTAGTGTGTATCCGTTTAACAATTGTGCGTAGAAATTATATTTACATACATTACTTACTGCACACTTATTACATACATGCATTACTGGAGAAACATTGACGGATTTTCGGGGGCGGGGGGCCGGGTCGATCTGTATTGTTGGCTCGTTTCGATTTGCTGGGTTTTAGCTGTACAGCGCGATTTATAATTAAGGAAACTATAGGTCTGTAGTGATATAAAACTGACTATGTTTTCAAATTTATATGTATGACCGTTTGTTTCTAATAAATAAATAAATAAATTACAATTTGTACTTTATTTTCAGGTGTCAATTCCAAAGAGCAAGAAGAAACAATACCCGAGAAGAAACCTAAATATAGTAAGGCACAGGCACGCCAAAGGTACAAGCAAGGAAAACTTTAGCTCTTAAAATTATATTTGTATCTTATACAATTATTGCTTCCATGAAGTTTACTTATTACAACTAAGTATTGGGTTGGGTAATAAAAAATAAGTATTAAACCTTTTCATTTAAAAGAGCGGGCAGCTCTAGAATGATTTTTCGCTGCGTAGCGTGGCGGGGAAACTTAAGGGGGGCGGGAAATTCTGCTAGTTTTAGAAAAAGTCGCAGTTCATTTGTAAACAAAAATAAAGGCAAAATTTACTACTTAATTCTAGATTATTATATATTTTAATCATTGAACTGCCAGATGTTCAAATCTGAAGGAAATTTTACTAGAAAAAATTCCACTCAGCCCAGGTTTCAGACAGGATTCGAACCTGCATCTTCCGCAATCCGGGCGGAAAAAAATATTTATTTTATATTATTCTTTTGAAATAAGTAAGGGGGTCTTACTTAGCTACTACGCGTTTGCTTCGAGTTTGCCGCAGCTGCCCTCCCCGCGTTATCACACCGCGCTCCTGGACAGACCCTTAGTCGACCCTATTGGTTGACGGTACGAGTTGATGTGCCTCTGACGCCATATTGTAACGGTCTGGATTTAATGGGATTGCTTCAGAGGAGTATTTTACATCCTGGCGTACTGGGCCGCTTATGATTTGCCCCCTAAAATTCAAGATCAAATCAAAATATAGGTCTGTAACGAATGCCTTTTTAGGGCTCGCGCGCCTCGCAGCTGTAAATGAGCCTGCCACCCCGGGCTAGGTCATAATTTGACCAAGATTTGGTTCTGATTGCGTCGTTGCTCTCGGTTGTGAACGCTGATTGGTTCGATTGTTTGATGTCACGTCGTTTGATTGGTTATTATCTATTAGGTGGAAATGTAGTGGTCAAAGGCTCCTTTATTGCTTTTTATTGATAGTCATAAAAAAATTGATGTACCTATTATTTTTCTTGAAAATTTAATGTCTAATTTTACAATAGTAATTCCAACAGACTTTCCGCTCTAATAGCCCCGTCAGTACCTGCTTAACGCTTGCAGTACAAGGGTATCATTGGCGCCGTTAGCTACCCTGCCCCATATCCCCTACCCCGTAGAGCTCTGGAACCTAACTCATCAACAGAAACACAACACCAACAAAAGGTAGTGTTATTACCTGTGATTAGAGGTACCGTGCAAGTGTTTGAGTCACGGACTAGAGAAATTTGATTGAATCAAAGTTAATATTGTAAACATTATTTTTAGCATTTAATTGCTAGATGTATGAATCTAAAGAAAATTTTACTAAATAAATAATACACTCAGTTCAGGTTCAGGTCAGACGGGATTCGAACACGCATATTCAACTATCCAATAGAAATTATGCTTCATAACATATTATGTTGTTTTTTCTTACATCTTTATTTATTCTGTGTATAATAGGAACATTCCCAAAAGTTTGTGACATTTCTCAATAATTTTTGTTTTGTTACCTTACAATTTTTGTTGTAAAGTATCGATGTATTGGGATCAGACATTTTTTTTGTGTGTTCGTCTTTTTTATTTAAACTGATATTTGTTGAGCTGATAAAAAAATGTACTTATAATTTGACTTGTGCATATTTAGTATGTAAATGTAAGTGGTCATAGCATTGGTATTATAACATGCAGAATCAGTACTTATATTTTCGGCGTCCATAATCAAAACAATATAAGTACTAGGTAGTGCGTCCAATTCATGAGTACGCATCATTACAAAATGAGTTGAAAGAACATCTTAATGACTGACGGGAAAATACAGAGGAGGATTTGAGAAAATGAGAGATTCCCAGATGTGTCTCGACTCTTGACGCAATCATAGTGGGTGGGGAAGAAAACTGACAATATTCGTCGCCCGAGGCACTGATATCCTGTGTCTTTTATTTTAACAATTTATTTTTTAGTTTTATATATTTTGTGGTAGGTAATTGGGTCTAATAAAAATGATAATCACCACACTTTCCAACGATGGGCGACTGAGAAAGTTATAAGAATTCGAAATTTCTTTTCTCAATATGATGCTACTGTTTACGTTATGGCCTTGGCTAGGATAGCTTTCCAATGGAAATTTATTTTAATCTCATCATTGTATACTTACTGCTAGATTTCTTAATCTGAAGACAATTATACTAGAAAATATCAGCCATACGGGTTCGAATCCCACATTCCCGATGTGCGATTCGAACCCGCATGGCTACGACGTATACGCGCGGATTGCGGAAGATGCTATATGCATCTTATTTAAAATTTAGGTTATATTCGCATAGGTAGAAATACGTTAACTGTGGCATTAGTACAAACCTATTCTCTTTGTATTTAGTTCATAAGCTGATTGTGGACAGTAGTTTCTCTAGTTTATTATTCAAGCAGTCATTACTCCGTTGATAAACAATATTATTTAGGTCACAAGTGCTTGCAAACGATTTTTTTTCTTTTTTGATACCGAAATGAGTAGTAAATCATAGGATATTATGTACTGCAAAGCTTTACGATTTTATGTGGGTACGTCCTGGGGGCCAATCGCCTAACGCGATTCCTATCGCTTACGATATATTTTTTTTCTAACCGCCGAAGGTTTTCAAATACCTGACGTCCATTTTCTTTGATATTGTTATTACTAATGCAAAAGAAGAAAAAGAACGCAAGGCATTTTAAAAACCGGTTTGAAATAATAACATGAAATCGTAAGCGATAGCCATTGCAATCGCGTTAGGCAATTGGCCCTCCGTGTCCTGGGACTGTATCCGAAATTAGCGTCTTAATTCTGAACACTTAACTGCCTACCTAGGAACGTACTACTTTTTTGGGGTTCACTACGTCATGTCGAATAACTAAATGTTTGTGGAAAAGTCAAAGTTTTTTTTACTAAGAGGTGAAAATAATAGAAACACACACTGCACTCACATTACCTTCTCACTAAAACTGCCATTGTTCTAAGACTTGTTAAGACTACTAGTGTAAATAAATAAAACGTCTCTATATCTTAAAATTGTGCAATATTACATTATTTCTAAGAAGCAAAAAACCAAGTTTATGGTTTATACTTAATTTTACTGTGTTGATTGTAATAACGAATTATGTACCTAAAAGAGAATGTACAGACAGCAACATATCAATTTGCCACAAACTGTTTCTAACAAATTATAAAGTTCAAAGTTGGTTGGAGAAATTTGACGGATTTGGGTAACTTGACCTGTCGCTGTCTTATAAGGAAATAAAAGTTTATAATAATTAAGGGGAAATACTTTATTGATTCTAGTGTAAAATGTATTTCGAAAATTGCATCAATACAATAATATATCTTTTGAATAAAACTTGGTCGAATACCTTACATATTTAAAATAAATCTGACTGATACTGTAAGAGGATAAAAAAAAAACTGTACAACAAATGGGGTATCTTATATTAAACATATTATTGTATACTATATTACTAATAACACCGTGCCGAAAATGTACAGTGAATAAATTATTATAGAACATAATATTGTTTATAATTTAAAAAAGAAAATGCATATTTAAGCCACCAAGCAACAGGCGATGTTAGGCGACACGAAATTAATATTTATAATTATGGACATGCTCCAGATACTGATTTATTTACTGATGATTTTTAGTACTGTTTCACCGACCATCGTTGGTGGGAAATACCATGGATTTATGATGGGTTATGTTAATCTTGAAAGTACATTTTAGTACAGGATTCAGGAAAAGTTAATTAATTAAACAAATGCCATTGGTTTCTGAAACATGTCCATTTTAATGTGATAAGCTTTGCTGAAATAATTTTAATACTTATAATTTTACACTAGGTTCCTAAGTAGAGGACACATTTTGATATTACCTTTTGCTTGGTTTATAAGGAAATGTTCCTTGCTTGCGTTGTAAATTATATTCTGAATTTAATGGAATATTTACCGCAAAGTGCATTAAGTACTATCTATCATAATGAGAAAATAAAAGTTACTTGAAACAAGGAAACCTAAATAACATTTACATACATATACAATACCAAAGCAAACTTATAAGACAATGGATTAAGGTACCATTCTTGGAATTGCACCCGAATAATAACATAAGGTAACAAACAATTAATATGTATTACACAATACTAGCATTTATTGTATTGTAGAGTTGCACTTTGGTGTTTAAAATTACCATCTTTTTTAAAGGAGATATGTCAATCACTATCTGAAATTGCTTTCTTCCGGCGTTTTGCTTGTTTTGGTTTCACAAAATCTTCCTCCTGTAGAAAAAAAAACAGAATAAATTTTTGAATGACTATTTCAACTCACTATTTATCAAGTTCAATAATTTTATTGACCGCGAATGAAATATTTAAGCAAGACCAAAGAAAAGGTGCCTTCTTTAGGCTTGTTTAAATATTTCATTTAAAATGATAAAAGAAAACAGGTGGATGAAACAAGAAATCTTTTAGAAAAATATAACTTGCTTCCAATAAAAAACAAGACATGAATCAAAATGGTGACGCTGTTGACCTTAGGTTAAAAAAAGGGAACATATGGTACGCTCATAATAGCATCAAATTAAATATGATCCGATTCAAATACATAAGCAACTGTCACACACGCACACGTCTGTAAATAACATTCAATCGAGCGAGACAGAACTGTACGCTTCAACGCCGACTCCGCTTCCGAGTGCGAACGGCTGAGCAGTATTGTTGTCCTTTTCTTGATAACAAAATGGCGATTACGTAAATAACATTCACAACAAACCGCGATTAATGAGAAAAAAATTTTTTTACAGTGTTACTAATGAGAAGTGTTGCCGAGGCATCTGTTATTTGATTTTGAACTATTTGTGTTCTTTATAAAAGCATCGAAGGCTTTGTTTTATCTTTATAACATAATATACGCAATATTTTTATACTGAGTGCACATGCAGCGTGTTTGAATGTCCAATTATGACTACAGTTAATTGTAATCGTGCAGCAGATCACTTTTGAGCCGCGAGTGCCGTATCTTCCCTTTTTGTTTTAATCTAAGCTGTTGACATATAAAAACCTGTAAACTCACAATCGCCGTCGAAGTGTCGGGAGCAAAATTACGCACACGCGTCTGTTAAATTACGCACACGCGTCTGTTGTACTTAATTTTCAAACAGTCATGTTTCGACCGCGCTTTTATTACAACTACACTCAATGACAAAGTGTTCAGTCAAAAACTTTGTAAATTACATCTGCCCGCCTATTCGCTAACTGCTTCTGACAGATGGAAGTGATAATCACCGAGTTTATTTAGTTATCCATTACTGCTTTACTATAATGCCACTAAGTTACTTGTTCTGAAAAGCATCGATGGATATGCAATTTTCACTTAAGTTACACACTGTAAATGTCAAAAAAGTTTGCGAATATGCCGTCTAAACTACACTTAAAAATCATGGTGTCGTTTATCAGGTAAGTGTCCCTTTAACTAATAGAATTACACGACTATCATGGCGATCTCTAACGTATTGTTAATTACTTATATTGTAATAGCTAACTTGTACAACAAAATAACACTCCCCGTAATTATACTCTTCTCCTTCTGTTTCGTATGCAAGTGACATTGAATCTTGCTGCCACGACATACATAACCTGTTAATTTGAACATGTGCGTTAATGTTATCTCTATAATTTAATATAGATAAACATAGTGCGCGTTTGTTTTTATACGTCAATCGTTCAGTTCGTGTTGCACATTATTTCTTTGCATCAAACAGAAATCACTTAACTGGCTTCTATAGTTGAGTGATATGCTAACAAAAAGTAGAGTTACTCTAAATAATCGAAGCCTCGATGACACGGGGCGAGTTACAAGCTACAAGCCAGCGAGTTTGCTAGAAGCTTGTAAACTCGCCCCGTGTCATCGACTTTTTTACCATCTGCTACTCGATGATACGGGGGCGAGTTTACAAGCTATTAGCGAACTCGCTGGCTTGTAACTTGTAAACTCTCCCCGTGTCATCGAGGCTTTATACAGCTGAAAATGTCGGGTGTTCTAAAGCTTTAGACATACACTAATTGCCTGTTTGCACTTGCATCTCTATTTCTTTAGTTTTTGAGATCAGTATTTTCAAAACCTGTAAATCGCCTAGCAAGTTCGCAAATTAATTCGCAATTATAATCGTAACAATAAAATCACTTTGATAAAAAAGATTGCGCTCCGTCCACTTATTTTAAAAACATTTGTACATTGAAAACCGGACAGACACACTGATGCTAAGATTTAAAATAAATATTAAGTACAGTTTTCAATATGAGTTTGAAAGAATATTAAAATAGCAGTTACATTACCTCACTGTCGTCATTGGACGAATGTAAGTTTGCGTTTATTGGCAAGGAGTTTGAAACTAATTTTCTTGCTCGCCTTGAAATCGGTAATTCATCTTCCCGTGCTAATGAAAATAAATCAATGTACTGTTTCTGAAACAAAAATAAAAAATATCTTTAAATATTTTAAACATATTTTATATGTTTAAATTGTATAATATTCATGTCGAATATTAATTATGTAAGTAAATATGTATTATTATAAGTATTGAGGTAAATAGCTGGTTTTATTAATACAATGACTCATATTACTAAAAATGGTAGACTTTCGGCCAATAGTGACTGATAATAATTATTTTAACTTTGTATTTTATATATCTTTTTATCAGACTTATATACCTACACCGTGAATTGTGAATTACCTGAGAAACTTTACTAGCTATTAAAGCAACGATTTTTGTTATATTTACGAAATTATTTTATTGAGCAATTAAGAAACCTTAACAAATTAAGTTGTCATAAATTGATTCAAATACTACTTTTAGGATATACTACGTACCTTAAACGGATAATAATTTCATAACAGGTATGCTATTTACAAATTTGCGCCGTTTAATGATAGTTTGTAAACAATATATATATTTTTTTATGGGGGTGTAGTATGTTTACTGTTTATAACTGTTCATACTATTTTTATTTATACAATTTTTAAGTTTCTCTGATAAATCAAAAATTCACGGTGTAACGACAAAGGTCATAATATGAAGTAAAGGTGGTACATCGATTGTACAGTGGTTAGCGAGTTCGGTCCGCGATCATGAGACTTATCGGTTTTCGTAATAATAGCCAGTCACAGGATTATGACTGGAAATTAATCATTTTGAATTTCTCCATGGTTAGCACCCACCAATTCACATTTGGCCCGCGTGGTAGGTTACGGTAAATTCTCCTTATCCTCTCGTCCGTGACAAATCCAGCGTGGTGATATTTATGGGTTGACTTTAATAAAATGATGACTATCAGTTTGTGCAAGACCAATTAAGAAGACGATTGTCTACCTAATTACTAATTTGGTCTCGAAACGGTGGTAGGTTTTTTTTAAAATTTATTTTCCACTATATTACATATGTTAACACTATGTATACATCTGCCAAACTGTGTAACAGTTTGTCGGCAGGGAATTGACGATTTAAAAGTACTTAGCAAAGTCCATTTAAATAAAGATATTTTTGAGTTTGAGTACATTCATCAGATCTAGTCAAATTTTATGACCATGTAACGTTGTTGTAAAAATTCGTGTTTATAAATTAATTTATAAATTTTTCGTATTTCGAAAACCGCTTTGCAAAACTTACGTAAGTTTTTTGTAAAACCAATTTTACACAAAAACAGTAGGAAGTTTAAATAAATGTGTTGTAAGTATTATTCTTTTTAATTTAACCACCAGTACTTTATTAATGTTACTGTTTGTTGTGTAGGGTGAGTTTGTGTAGAAGTATTGTTATCTATTTTTGAATTATGCACTTCTCCAATTTAATTTCATATTAAAATAATGATCTTACCCTTAGACTATCACTACTATTAGATTGTGCTTGCTGTAAAGCTTTCTGCATACATTCCATATTAAAAATGGACATGTCGTCGTTTTCCACACAGCTCACCCTCATTTGTTCCAAGTGGGCCAAAACCTGAGGGTTTAAAATTAAATATAAATAAGCACATCCTCATTGTATGAAGGCAATGGGTTTAGTATGGCATGGCTAAAAAGACGATATTGCAATTAATATGAATAAAATTCAATTCAAAAGTATTCTTGCTCAGTTAAAATTTAGCTTTTTATGATAATAAATGCCACTCAAATATTACTAAATTCTGAAAATGAAGTGAATACTTTATGATGTATTGCAATGGGACCCTTTTAGCCTACCTGACATTATTTGAATTTTTAACGTTGAACATAAGAATAATAAATGCATGTTTACCAGTTCTGCTGATGGTGGGGCATTAGGCGGTATGCTGTGTTTACTAGGACGTTTTCTTTTATTGGGACTGGTTCCAGGATACCGTGTGCTCAATAAAATAGATACAAGGTCTCCAAGTTTGTCTTCATAATCATAACACCAATTTTTTAAAGTTGATAATACAAATGAATCTTCTTCATCTACAGATCTACAAAATAACTGTCTTAAAACATCAGCAGTTGGTCTTTCTTGCTTCAACATCAATAAAACTGATGTTAGCGCTTCTGCATGCTCTTTGAAAGACAGTTTAGGAATGATGGGTAAGACATCTTCTACTGAAATGTCATGAGCTGTTAAAAGCTGCCAGAGGCAGTATTGCTCAAAGGTTTCCCAACTCAGACTTGTGGAAAGCATTGTGGTGATATCATCAGATTTGAACATCATCAGATTTCCTTGTAATGTCAGGCATACCAATCTTTGTAATTGCCCAGCGTCTAATGTGGAAACAATAGCATGGAGCAACCTTATGTGATTTTGAGCTTGATCCTTAAATTCCCTGTAGACATCTGGTATCAACCACACTAAAACATTTGAGTCGCATTCTTGACACCTTTCAAAGTCATCAGCCAAACTCTCTCCTACTTTTAATTCGAGAAAGCTACAATAATCTCTGTATACCTCTGATTTAAATTTAACCTCACGTTTTTTCACCAAATCACGTTCAGCACGTCTTTCGCGTTCATAACATACCTTCAAATAAAACAGTAAACAAAATCCTATACTGTGTATAGAATTCTGGGCATGAATTTCCTTGAATGTTTCTAAAACAAGTTTCCTTTTAGCTTCTGCTCCATCACCAGTGGCTGTAAGGAAAGCAAACATGGAAAATATTGGAGAATTTGATGCTACATCAAGTTCTGCAGGACTCGGATCCCGACTGATTTTTAAATGTGGCATGTCCTGAACAGTGGCTGTGAACAGATCTGCGAGTGCTATAGGTGTAGGCATGGGAGAACCACAAGCATTAAGTAGAGCTGTGGCAGCAGACGAAGAGCGCTCATCTAATAGAGTTTCTGCTAATGGTCGTAAAATAAGAGGTAAGGCTGCAGCTAGTTCGGGTCTTTCCCTGGCTCTTACTTCTGATAGTGGTAAATCATCATCATCAGTATCCTCTGTAATGCTTGGTGGTACATCATCTTCATCATCCGAAAAAGCAGGCTCATCAGGTCCTCCTCTTGTCAACTCCTCAGCTCCTTCATCACGCATTCCTGACACACCCTCCCCATTTCCATTAGTACAGAATTCTTTAAAGGTTTCTCTCACAGTTGTTCTTAATTCCCTGTCTAGTTTAGGGGAGTCAAATAATGGGTGCAAATTTTGCAAAACCCTCTTTTCAATGATTTGTTGAAGTGAGTTAAAAATACCTTGTCTTACTTTATCAGCAAAAGGTGGATAAAAATTTGGAATGATTCTGCATAGAAAATCAAGTAAAGTTGCAGTAACAGCTGGATGTGATCTCATAGAATGATGCATAACCAGAATTGCTGGTTCTATGTTCATGATGTTATCCTTTTCTGGGTCATAAAACAACCAATCATAGAAAAGGGCCAATTTGGCATTAGACGCAGCGACATTGGACGTACAAGTAGTAAGGAGCCAACCAATGACAGCCCACCTAGGAATTATATCAGAACATAAAAGTTCATTTGTGGGATGTATTACACCAACAATAAATCTGATCATGTCACTCCTGAGAGATTGTGACTCAGGAGTGGCAAGATATTGTCTTTGAAACCATTCTTGGTACTTTTTATGATGTCCAAATCTAACTTGTGAAGTAAGGAAAACCAGTTTCCGCTCCATATCAGGAGTCAGCCTAGATTGTAAGTATCTGCGAGATGTTCTAGTCTGCAGGAGTTGTAAAACATTTGTAAAAGTTGGGCATAATGATTTTGGATTCATCAAAATATCTTGCCAAAGTTGACTAAACTCAGGAATGCGTGCAACATTTTGGAGTAATCGTACCAGATCCCTTCCCAAAGTTAAAACATCAGCAAATCGTTCTCGAATTAGTGTCAATACAAAATTGACTTCTTTTTGTCTTAAATTTATTAACTGTGGTATATTGTGATCTTCTATTAATCTTAAATATGAGTAAACCACCATGCAAATAAGCACTGGAAATTTATCCAGCCAAGTTCTGTTTTCAATGTAAATGTCCAAGAGTGATTCAACTAGGATAATATTTTTAGGAGAAATATCTCCCCCAGAAGCATAACGCATAAGGTTCCAACATATACTATCTACTCCTGTAACATTGTTTCGTATCATTTCTTTCATAAGCCATAATACTTGATTCCGAGTAGTGTCTTGGAATTTCAAATACCTTTCTAAGATTAAATTTGACAGGTTGTTGAGCACACATGTAAAACCATCCCTGGTCACAAGAGTGAGGTCTCTGTAACATTTCGTGGCATTATGGGGTTCAGTGAGTATGGACATGAGAAGACCAAGAGAGACATCCTCATGATTTTTACACACTGCATTATTTAAAGCGTCATGTGCCTCTTTTTCACTGCAATCGACAACCAGGCTCTGGACGTAGTTGTACACTCTTTCGTATCTCTGAAAATTATAAAACAGATATGTGAAAAACTTTAATATACCATTCTCAAAGTAAATCATATTTTCGCGCCAGATCAACAACAGCGCCACTCTCGTCGATATCAGAAAATAAGGTTGTACATGGCTGACTAGACCATTCTTTGTTGGGAAACTGCGAAATTGAACACAGTACCTCTTCAATTTCATCCTTGTTTTCTATAGCGGTGCACACGAATAATTTGGGAGACTTCGGTTTACTCTGCTCCATAATTTGTAAATTCTTTTATCTACTTATTTAAATAAAAACTTGGCGCAGGTTGCCTCCTGCATGACTCTCGTAGGCGAAAAATATTTATGAAGCAATACAATCAAAAAACATCTATGTGTGCGTCTGTCATCGTGGAACAAGCAAAAAGTTGTATAGTGCCGACAGGTGGCGCTTGATTAGCGCTTTATTGAATTGCGTTCCGTATTACGTAAAGAATCTGCGACTAAATTCTTTGTCTAATTATAAAATACATTAAAAAGTTATTTACCGATAATCTTTAACAATTGTTTTTTTATATATGAAAAGCTTTTAATAAAATAATGATGGTATATCTTCGTGTATCTTAAATTAACTGTATTTTTTGACTAAATCTTAGAAGTAGATCATTGCAGTGTGAAATGGAACAGCTTCAGTTTTGAAGACAAAGGATATAAAGTCTGTTAAGCCTTACTTATCGTGATATTATTGACAGTGTTTTAAACCGTATCACAGTATCAGTGGTACAACTTGTGATATCCTACTATCCTAGAATGGCTAGAATCCTAAAATGCGATTCAAGCATTACGATAATATTTAACCATGTAATATACTATCACAATTTCGATAACATCACGATGTGAAGTTATTTACATATGCCTTTGAGTAAGGCATATTACACTGTTAATAATATCTCGATATCGTGATATTATTGACATTGTAATATGCCTATCTTGACCGTATCGCATCGCAGTATCACCGGTACAACTTGTCATACCGTGATCCTAGAATGCCTAGAATCTTAGAGTACGGCCCCAGTGCACGCTGGTTCAGAATCAGGTTCAGACTCAGAAAACAGGCTCGTGAGATGTCAGTTTGAGGAAAGCAGGTGATGGCCGCAGTGGAGTGGAGGCAGATAATACAAAACGCGGACGCGAGACGCGCAGTTCGCAGTTGTAAGCATGGAGAAGTTGTCTAATGATGATCTAGCGTGCTATATGTTGCCTGTTATTTAATTTATGTTTCCATTTTATGCTATAGTTTCTGTAACAATTATTACGACGCAATACGCGTTTTAGAATATAATATAATAAATTGTATTAAAAATAAAAGTACAAGAAAAAAGTTTTTCTTTACCTTCAACACCCATTTCTCCAGCGATGTTTTGCCAACACCTATCAACGATATTCCTATTTGAATGGTTCTTGTCTCTTTTATCCCATACATGCTGGCTGGCTTTTCGGTTCTTCATGCTAGCTACTGCAACTATAATGTTACTATAATGTTAGTGACCATGAAAGTTTAAAACAATATATAGCTACTGCAAGTTTCACTTCATGCGAATATAGATTCGCATATGGAAATAGTTCCAGTAATGGTCCGCAGACATGTTCAAGGGGGGCGGGATCTTCGTGCGGAAATTCTTCATTAAGTAAGTGTAGTATTCTTGCCAGCGGTGCATAATTTGGATATTATCTGTTAGTAAGACTTGCTCCTTGTTCTTAATGTATTTATTCATTTTGATGTCAATTGAAGCCTGATGTCTATGTTTAGCTATCTTAAGTACATCTTTTTCTGATTTAGCTGACTCTAACCTATCATAGAAATAGTTCCAGTAATGGTCCGCAGACATGTTCAAGGGGGGCGGGATCTTCGTGCGGAAATTCTTCATTAAGTAAGTGTAGTATTCTTGCCAGCGGTGCATAATTTGGATATTATCTGTTAGTAAGACTTGCTCCTTGTTCTTAATGTATTTATTCATTTTGATGTCAATTGAAGCCTGATGTCTATGTTTAGCTATCTTAAGTACATCTTTTTCTGATTTAGCTGACTCTAACCTATCATAGAAAGCTTGATTTGCATTCGCTCTTTCCTGGGCTATGCAAGTTTTTGCTTGTTCTTAGCTTCTTTATATTTATCCTTGACATCATCTGTTTGTGAACTTTGCTGCGCTTTGAATTGGGTTTTCTTGGTAAGTAAAGCCTGCTTTATTTTGTCATTCCACCATTTGGGATCTTTTCCGGAACGAAGAGGCTCTTTCGAAACACCCAATACTTCTGCAGCTTTCGTTCTACAATATTTTTCAAACTTGGACCACATAATTTCAGTTTGGTTGTACTCTGTATCCAAATCAGCCTCAAGGTAACTCTTAATATCACCTAGCAATATTTCGCTCTTAGGACCATCCAGCTCTTTCCACTTTGTCTTCGGTGTTCTATCCACCATTACCTTCAAGGCCCTTGGCAGATCATACACGGCTACTAGGATGCGATGTTGGGATGTAAGAGATTCACCAGGAATTACTTTGCAATCTTTGAACTTTTGTTTCACAGCAACGTTATGTAGTCTATTTGAGACGTTTTTGCAGTACTCTTGTAGGTAATTAGGTGCTCAGGCTGTTTTTGAAAGGTGGTGTTTACTATAACTAGTGAATGTCTTGCAGCAAAATCCAAGATGTCCTCTCCTTGCTTGTTTAGCATACCAAACCCAAACCCGCCATGTACATTACTGTAGGTGCTGTTAGTTTTTCCAACATGTCCATTCATATTGCCTCCTATGATCTTGTACTCATTAAATGGTATGTCCTGCATTAACTCATCGAAATCCTCCCAAAATTCAGCCTTTTCTAAGTCTGTACAGCCCGTTTGTGGAGCATAAGCTGATATTATGTTGGTTACTTGCTGGTTGTCTAGCGCGAGTTTCACGGTTATTAAGCGGTCACTCTTCCGTGTATTGTTTATTATTCGGGACTTGAATTTGTGATCCAGGACCACTGCCACGCCGTTTCTTTTATTGTCCACACCATGATATATGACCTGGTAGTCATTGCCTATGTCTTTTGATTTCGAGTTGTCTTCAATAAACTCTTGGCTCCTGCCCGTCAGAGACCCTAAGTTCCAGGTTGCAAGTCTTATACGATGTAGATTTTGATGCGAACTTTTGTTCTTGTCCAAGTTATCGTCGCTTGGGGGGTACGCCCTAGTATTTATCGCATCGTTCGCATTTACGTCGCTTATGGGTACGCCCTAGTAGATTTGCCCTTAACCATTTTTCGTTGTACTTTCATGTTTTTATATATATTGTGAGGAGAAGATGGTAACTTAAACCTAAATTTAACATCAGTCTCTCCTTTTCATTATGTATAGAGAATGACAAGGATACACTGTTATCAACTTTAAGTTTAGCTTTAGAGAATCATGCCAGTCGACACCAATACATAGTAAAAAAAAATAGGTTGTCGGTAAAGCCGGTTTACTGACGATAGTTGAACGATACAACGTTTTTTTACAATGTACATAGTTCTATTCAATATTAATTAAATGTCACGAAATAGTTCTATTAACTTGTTGTTATAGTTTTGTCAATAATAGTATAACCTACAATCGCTGCACTAGCGGACCGATGCTTTTTATTTTAATGATGAAAGATATGATAAATATTCGACAATATATCACTGAACATTGTAACCATCCGGGTGGAGTGTGGTTTAGTGAAACATAATACGCGTTTTTATGATTATACTTTATTTCACACGAGCGCGGAAGAATTAAGGCACCGCGCGTGGCTTTACGTTATCGAGTCCCGGCCAATAACTGACTCGCATCGCGCCTAGGGTTGGATTTAGGTATTTTGAAAAAGAAAGCACAAAAAAATGAAAAGGATAGTATTTATAAAAAAAAATATAGTACACTTTCATTATTTTTTATTTAAGTAACATATAATAGTAAATAAAATCGACACCCGTTAAGGCAAAATTTCCTCCTCTTATAAGTTTATGAGTTTTTGAATATTACTATTAGTTCTATCTTCATCCTTGGCATTTCATCTCATCAACATATTATCCTGAGTAGGAATAAAATCAGTACAATTTCCACTTTTGCTACCGCTTTTGATGCCACTTTCCATAATTAAAACACTGAAAATGTACTATTTTACATAAAAACTCGCAAGCGATTGTTAAAACATTGAGCAAACTTTGATTGAGTTTCCAATGGAATGGAAAGGACGAGATTAGTAGAAAGAGAGAAGTGTACTGCGGAGGATAATCGGGGAATCCCCGGCCAAAAACACAGCAAACTTCGCAAGATCAGAATTCGGTTGGATACACGCACGGTCGAAATATTCAAAATATGACGTAAAACTAAGCATTCGGGAGCAAACTTTAAATTATAGTATTTAAGCGTACTATCCTTAGATATGGATAGTATATAGTACAAAGGGCGAAATTATAGTATAAATACTACTATACTATACTATAACGGTCAATATCTTTCCTTTGAGCCGGAGGGAGGCACATACACGCCACAACATATATTTAATATCGAAAAAATGAGTACCTTTATCGCCGCAATTATCATTGCTATAAACAATTGACACCACATTCACTTTTCAATTTTGCAGTTTTTATTCTAAAACTTCAGAATATCCAGCAATCCAGATTACTATAACATGGCAACTTAAAATTTCGAAATGGCAACCCTGCCAGAGTCCGCCATTTCGATTTCCGCCCCGCCAACATAATCGCCATATTGTTATTTGTATGTGATTGATCAGTCTTTTCTAAGTTTTATTGGCGTGTATATTTTTCATGTGGATACCTTAATTAAATTACATTCAACCAACTTTCAACTTTTCGGTGCTAGGTAGGCAAATTAAATACTGGGTAGATAATTTAACGAAATGATTAAATATAACGGTGTCTGTGATTTTGGTTTCTGTTTGGTGACGCCGCCGGTTATAAAAGTTACCTACGATTTTTATTTGCGTTTAGATATTTTTCATGTAACATAGTGCCCTGTTTGATTATTAGTGGGAGTTTATACGCTTTCTTCCATTTACAGAATATAATGGACAACCAGAGAGAAAAAGACAGAGACCGGTCGAGGCGTGGTGATCGACCTTCAAGATTTTCTGATGCCACTCGAGATCGCTCCAACGAACGGGAACGTCCTGAAGGAAGGCGACTTTTCGTTTCCAATATCCCATACGAGTACAGATGGACAGAATTAAAGGATTTATTCAAAGAAAAGGTTAGTTTAATAAACTATGCTCGTAAACGAGCTATTGGTATCTGATATTTGCCGTACTCTCACCCAAAGTACTCAAAAGATCTTCACCTAATTAATATGAGACCATCTCGACATAAAACTGACTTCAAACTAGAAACCTGGCCATGCGCGACTCTAGTATCGCTCTATTAGGGTTCCTTGCAGTGAAATAATCCTGTTATTGAAGCTACATAATATCACCGAGTTATGAAATAGATCGTTTCCGAGCTCTAGCGATATCTACATGGCAGTTTGCAATACACTGCGAAAGGAAAAATCACTTGTTTGTTTTATCACAACTTACAAAGTACGTTATGAATCGGCCTTTTCAGTATTTGTTGTCTAAATACATGCAAATGGCACAAACCAAACTAACCATTCTTAACTATTTTCGATTTAGAGGTAGACAAGGTTAGAGTGGTAGCAATTTATTTTTTAAATTATGTCTTTCACGGCTACCCTTTTCTAAGGGCGCTTGGCTCTGAGCAGGTAGGGTTGAGTTGAACTGTCAAATTGTACCCCATCCCGATACATAACAATATTCATATCCCAGTCAACAACCCTTAGACAATGACTTCTCACGAGTATCAGACCCCCCATTAAAAATAATTAAATGAATTTTGGACTCCGAATTTGGCTTTGTTTTGTAACTCATTTTGTTTATGATCTATAGACCTGTGGCATAAGGACAGACACGACAGAATGTCAGCAATAAGGCTTTGTGTTTTATTAATAGAACTGCATTTACAGATTTTTTGAAATTGCTTGCTACAACAGGGAATCAAAGTCATGAAATTTGAAAAAAAAACATAAAATTTGTAATTTTATGATAACTATCACAGGGTTAATGATAAGGATTATGTTTTCCTAAATAACATAGCATTTTAAATATAATTAAGATCATGATCATAAAATTTTGTTCAGAAAATTTTCCTCTTATTTTTCCGTGTTTCCAACAGCTAATGTTATCAAATGTTAAAGTGAGCAAGTACTAATTAGTAAATACTTTAAAATCAAAATATTTACTAATTAATACCTGCTCATTGAATTAGCTTTACATGAAAAAGATTTTTTAACAACGGATCACCCAATGCCACAAGCTCTCTGGATATTTGAAACAAGGGTTAGCTGCTTGCGGCCAAGTGCTCGCGCTGCCTGAAGATACAATGCAAACATTTTGCTGTATTTGCTTTTGGCCTGTCTGCCAGTGCGCACTGGCAAACTGGCAACTGGCAACTGGCTTGTGCTTAAACTGTAAAGAAATCTTGAACAATGAGCTCAGACTAGTAGCCTGAACCCTCAGCTCGTATCATTTGGACTAAAGATTAGTAGAACAGAAACATTGGATAAGATATTGAAACAATGGTGGTATACTACATATACACAGTATGTATGTTATTGGTACTCTGGTATAGTTTTCGAAATATTTTTTTATTGCAGGTTGGAGACGTGGCATATGTGGAACTGTTTAATGATGAGAATGGTAAACCAAGAGGATGTGGAGTTGTTGAGTTTACTAACACTGAAGCCATGAAAAAAGCTTTATTTGTCATGCACCGATATGAGCTAAAAGGCCGCAAACTGGTGTTGAAAGAAGAAACAGGTATCTTTAGCATTATGACTATGAATTTACTGAGTGATATATCAAGCTTATATAGCAAAATAGGACTCTAGCATATATATCTATTTATTTACATACATACTTAAAACATACCTATGAATCTTCCTGTATCCACTGAAGTATGCTGGTGTAAATATTTTCTTAACTATAAATAAAAATATTTTTACATTAGTCTAGAAATCACTCATTTTTTGTAGTGTAAATTACAGCATTCAGTGTTATTTATAAAATTTTAATTGATTACATTAGCATTAATCCAAATTTTTACATTGATTTGCATGCAAATAAACTTTCTTAGATGTTATTGTTAAAGGTAATGAACGGAATCGATTGAATTCCACAAGATCAGGTGGTATGGGTGGAGGTGGTGGCAATAGCGGCAGAAATCAAAGAGAAGAGAAAGATGGGTATGCAATTATATCAAGTTTTTTTTTCCCAAACATATTACGTTATTTCTATAAATTAAAGGTCATCATAAAAACCAATAATTCAAATTTAAGTGGCCATTGCCTTAGATGACTTGTTAGATACATTTTTTTGTACTTGTATTACATTAATTTATTTTAATTATGATATTTGTATCAAAAAATTAAAGTTCACATAAATTTTATTAGTTTGTTCTGTATTGTAAATTATATAGCTTGTTCATTAATTGATTGGATTGTTTGCAGATGGGGTGTTAAACCACGAGAACCAGAAAACTTCAATACTTATGGTTTAAGTTTACAGTTCTTGGAATCCATCAATGTCCAACCACCTCTTGTCAAAAAAGTGTTTGTGGCCAATGTAAGTGTTATCTATGTGTAAAATTTTCTATAATTTTGTTAATGTATTTCCTTAATAACTCATTATACAACGAATTTTAAAAATAACTCCAATTTATTACTTTTTAGTTGGACTATAAAGCAGACCGCATCAAGATTAAAGAGGTATTTAAAATGGCAGGTAAGGTGCGAAATATTGATTTGGCTGTTGATAAAGATGGCAATAGCAGAGGTTTTGCTGTCATAGAATATGATCATCCTGTGGAGGCAGTGCAGGTAAAGTATATATGTAGCTGGTTGTTAAATATATAGCTACTTGTATATTATTGTATATAATGTTATGAGGCAATATTTTACTTCAAAAATTTTCATTTTAGGCTATATCTATGTTCGACAAGCAAATGTTGTATGATCGCAGGATGACAGTTCGTATGGACCGCGGAGTTTCTGATAAATCAGAACTTCGTTTACCTGAAGGTTTGAATGGAATAGGTTTAGGCTTGGGACCCAATGGAGAACCATTAAGGGACGTAGCAAGGAATTTGCAGCAGCCCAATGCAACCAACAACATGAACCTTGCCAATACTGGAACGTCTTTTGGAGCTGGAGTATTGGGTGCAGTGCCCACTGCTGCAGGTGTGGCTCTGAATGGTCTCGGGACAGGATTAACTGCCAATGCTTTGAGTACAAATTCTGCTCTGGGAAATAGTCTGAGCCTACAGGTAATTCGTAGTTTAACATATTAGTGTTGCACTGAATGTGAGTCCTTCTGAATGTTGAATTCAGCCGAATGAAAGCCGAACATTGGCTGAACTTTGGCAGAAATTTGGTTAAGTTTAGTGTACTTTTGCTTAATGAATAAAACATTTAGATATTGTTTTGTAAAAACTTGCACTTAGGTTTTGAACGCAGCCCTAAGTAGATCTGATCGGCGCATTTGGGCAATCCGGTGTGACCAACCACAGATTTCATTTTGTCCATTATTTTAATAAATAGAAAACTAGGGATGAAAGGAAAATCCATAATATTGAAAATCCAGAATAGACACATTTTTCTTATGACAACAAAGCATTAGCAATATTTCTTGGCTCTATATTTGTAGCTTACCTACCTTCAATAATAATATTTGACGTTTTAATAGAGATCAGCCAATTAAACATTTGAGCTAAATGTACTATATTACTGCATAAACTAGACTTTATTTGTATCCATTCAACTATACCACAATAAACAAGGAAGTTGATAAAATGCTTTGTGTAGCATAATCTCTTCCTTCTGAATACCACGTAATATTTCCATGAACTTCGTCAATTAGTTAAGCAAGGTTAGGTTAAGACAATGGCGCATAATATAAAACATCAGTGTTTAGAGTAATGTAGCACAAATACGAAACTGGAATATCCCAGTTACCTCAGAAACACGACGACACAATGTCAATGCACTGTGTTCCCTTTCACTTACCTAATTTATGAAATGAGAGTAATACTTTATTTAACAACCTATAACACGAATATACTATAATAACAAAAACTTATAAAAAACTAACATTCAACAAATAAGACGTAAAGCATTTATAATTTCGTATTTGTTGCATCTTTGATTTTTTATTATTAAGGGTTATACATGTGGTACCATGGTACCGTAAAATATAAGGTAATATTGTAACCCACAACATTATCCATAAATGATTAATTAAAAATAGTACCTTGCTGATGTTACATTCAGTGAGAGTAAATTTAACACTGTTATAATCCTTGTGCTTAATATAATTAATTTTAACAAACAAAAAGTAATTAAAAAAATCCTTAACAAATTGGTAATATTTTATGTATATTTTATCACTACATCAAAATTAAATAAAAAATAACTACACTAAGCGAGTTTAATATATATAAATATAGATGCTATGTGTCTCTTTGCTAAAATATTGCAAAGAGACACATAGCATCATATCTAAATTTATATTTTGTTTTTGAAAATATATCCACTTCTGTAAACATAGTATTGTAAGTTTCAGCCATTCTATGTAGAGGGCAACATAACCCTGTATTTGTTCGACAATTCTTAGTGGCAAATAAATAACGCTGTTACTTACTCTCTTTGGTCTTGCTCTCCTTGTAAGCCACCATCCACATTCACACTTATACTTATTGTCACTTACCTTCCAACTAAAGGATAAATATTTGATTTTAGGCCCTTGGTTTAACTGGGCTGGGCGCCCTTCAAAACCAACTGTTGCAACAAGGTTTGACCGCCAATGACTTGGCATCAGTGCTGACGGCCCAAGCTAATGTAAACAGCAGTTTGAATCTTGGTAATTCAGACCTTGGAAATAATGTGCTCAGCAATTCTGGCTTATCAAACAATGTCATGGGAGGTGGTGGAAATATGAACAGTGGTCCATTGTCAGGTAAGTGAAATTGATGTTTAACTTTATTTTAGTACTTCAATCTACTCCTTTCACAACAGCCAAGAAAAAATGAACAGTACCAATATTTACAATGAAAGTAATTATGCCAAAGAAAGATAGGTATTATTTTTGACACACACAAACAAACACTTACAGGCTGAGAAAACAGAGCTTTGTTACCTATTCTTGAAATATCTTTGCGTCACATTTTTTTTGTGTAGTAGTTAATGACCGATTTTTATTTTTCAGGTACAAGTAGACCAATGGGTGGTGTCTCAGTATCAGGCCAGGGTTATGGACGCGACTCCAACGTACAGCAAAGAGACAAACCCTCGGATATGGTTATCATCACGAATGTAAGGAGACAATTCAAGTACTACTAATCAGTATAACAAGTTGGAGAGAGAATCTACATACATATTGCCTGTTTTCAGCTTCCACCTACAGTAACATGGCAATTGATTCGTGAGAAGTTCAGCGAATGTGGCGATGTGAAGTTTGCTGAAATGACTGCATCTGATACGGCAATAGTGCGCTTCCATAAGGAATGGGACGCCGAAAGAGCTATCAGTATCCTTTAATAATAATTACCCATTAAGATCCCATTTGGTTTCTGTTTTGAAAAAGGCCCCCAAAAATGCTGGAACAAATTGGTTTCATGGTATTAAGCAATGATTTAAAATAATCACAGTGATCCTACATTTAATAAAACTAATGAAACAGTTACTATAGATTGTTACATATTGGAATACATATTATGTTTAGATAAGTGATAATATCCTATGCAAACAGTCGTAATATTTTGATAATTTTCCTTAAAATATTGTACAGAAATGTTTGACAGGACCCGCATCGATGGCAGGACGATTGACGTGCGTTTCTTTTAGATTTATCCTGAAAGCAGTTCCAGGAGGTATGTATATAATTTGCGTTTTTTAACAGATATTATCCTTATTTTTTCCAGAGGCGTATCTATTTTGACAGTAAAGGAAAAATGTCATAGGGATAAATTGCAAAAAAACTTGCAATTAATTTTATTGAAAAAAATATTATGTACTTAGAATTAAATTTTTAAGATAAACATTTTTCTTGATTTCCATTATTAGGATTTTGCCACATGTCACAGAAATAATAGTTACGCCTCTGTTCTAGGCTTAGTAGAGGAGGGCTTCTTAGATATTGTTGTGAAAAAACATTTCCTAGTTTTGCTGCAGATGCATTCAAATTGTTTCATTGAATACTTTGGAATTGGGCTTTTTCCGTCAAAATGGCGTTGGTTATGTCGTTGAAGAGAACTATGTCGATTGATGGATAGGTATGAGGCTCCACAAAGATGCTCGATTCTGATTTGATCTGATCAAAGTTCTACTTTTAACCACGTCCCTTGTATCTATAGTAGGTAGGTAACCTATGGATAAACTTGAAGAATATAAGTACATTTAATGAAACTATAGTTTTGTATTTGTAATAATAAAGCATAAATTGTAATTAAGCAGGACATTGATGTCGATTCTGGCATGATTCTCTAAACCTAAACTTAAATTTGACAACAGTGCATCCTTGTCCTTCTCTATACAGAATGAAAAGGTGAGACTGACCTTTAATTTAGTTTTAAGTTTAGAGATGCACGCCAGAATTGACACCTTTGTCATATAGTGAAATATCAACCCACAGATGAAAGAGTGCATTTTGAGAACCTAAAACTGATAATATATGTAGTTCTGTTTAGACATTTTTTTTTGTGGGTTGGGTAAGGTGTGTAAAACATCTTTTGTTTCTAAGTGTACACCTAAAAGATTATATTAAGTTCTACTCGTATTTGGTGTTGCCTTATTTTAGTGACAATGGAGACTATTGGTCCAATAAAATCCTAAAAACTTTAATTTGAAAACTACATAATTATTATTATCTTATTAAATTAGCGATGTGGAAAAATATATAAGCCTGTACAGTCGCCATTAGATGTATAACAGCAGCAGAGCAGTTAAGGAAATACTTCAGAAAATATTTTAACCCATATATGCCCACAACTATTTTTTTTTGGTTCCTTATGATTCAAAAACGAAACAAAAAAGCACTTTCGTTGATGTTCATTAACTTCTACATTTTGATCGGACAGTCCATCCTGTCAAAAATGTACATTTTGCAAATTGTGATTGATTGCTTTGTCTAATTTATTTGTTTGGTTATGACGAGTCAGTGCAAGTTGTGACTTCATTTCAGTGTGCAAAAATCAACGCGTCCCCTCCAAAAAAGTAAGAAATTATCCAAATCCGCTGATATTTACTAGTTTTGTATGTTCTAAACTAAAGTTAGATATGTGCAGAATATATTTTTGTAAATATAATGAGTTAATCTAATATATAAAATTCTCGTGTCCGCGGTGTGCGTAATTGAACTACTCCGAAACGGCTCGACCGATTTTCGTGAAATTTTATATGCATATTCAGTAGGTCTGAGAATCGGACAACAGCTATTTTTCATTCCCCTAAATGTTAGGAGTAATTTAAAGTAATTCAATTAACATAATTTTCTTAATAAATGATTTCTCATTTTAAAAATAAATAAATAGAACAAATGCCCTTGTTTATTTACTCACAGTAAATGCAGGTGAAGTGCCTGATGTTTTGTTTTCGAACAATAAATAGAAGGTACTTATTTAATACTGACTTTCGTTAAAGTAGTTAATATGTCAATAGAGACCTATTAGTAATAACATATCCAAAATTTACAAAAATTGGAAGTCTAAAATAGTTCTGAGAATAAAGGGTAACCTACTGTTCGTTTTCGAATCAAGAGGCATATATGGATTAATTTCCGAAATGTTTAATTAGTATTTATTTCGCAACAAAGATCAAATTTAAGAACAAGGTCAGCTATTTTTTTATTTTTCTGGATAATTTAAATATTGTAACTCCTAATATATTGTGTTTTATTATTTACTTTCATTTATTAATTGTGATTTGTGTGAGTTTTTCTACAAAGGTCAGGCTCAGTTTCCTAGATGTTATGTAGGGGTAGTTAGGGGTAGGCAACTTGTTACTTCAATAGTCAAAATTTATTTCTGTTTTCTTTTACGTTTAAATTTGATAAGGACACATTTCACATGGTTAAGGTACCGAATCAGCCACGGAACCTATTATTTTCTCAAAAATTAGGTCGTCCGCATACATAAAATGGTGTTGAATGATGGAAACAACTGGAAATATCATTTATGAAAAAGATGAACAAAACAGGGCCCAAATATGATCCCTGTGGCACTCCTAGTGTGCCGTGGAATTCAAACCATTAATAACCGCTTAAAAAGTCCTGCCACTTAGATGTGAGTCCCGTTATAGTGCTAGCTATGGACCTAGAAACACCATAGATTCACTATTTCCCCACCAGGATTTTACTGGAGACCTTGACAAAGGCCCTAGAAATCGAATTACTTTCCAGCATCAACAGCACATACTAGAAACTCAGTGCAAATAGATAACTACTTAAAAAGAGAACATGTGCTGTTCACATGCGATAGAAGTGAAACCTACAAAAATGTGAACACGTAAAGTTCTTTATGACTTAATACGTCTTCAAGACAACACCTGTGTTAAAATTCAACTGTCGGTCAAAATTAAATATTTATACAACTTATTTTTTTTCAAGAAATGATTAATAGCTTAGTAAAATAAAAAAAAAACAACAAAAAAAATCACCTAGCTCGGGATTTTACCACCAATCAGTTGGTGTCGACCCCAAAACCGGTACCGTTTGGCTATCTGTCTCTTATGGTAATTGACAAAATTAGGGATACCTATCTTGTGTTAAATAACCTACTTCCGTTTCATCGAATCTCAAATCACAACGGAGCTAAAGAAGTTTTCACTTGAATTTCTGAAGTTTTTATTGTGAGCGGGGATTTTTAAACTCGTATTGTTTCTTTTACCTTTTTTGTGTATGATCTATGGAAACACTTGCCTACATTTCATAATTTTTATAAACACACTTTTTACAAACACTTCGTAATCCAATGTAGCGACCAAATGGACCTATATTATACCATAGTTAAAATAACGTAGAGAAAGGGAGAGAGTAGCATAACATTTTATTGTAGGAGCTGAAGGAATTCAAGCGAAATCTCAAATCACTGATACATTTGAACCTTCCAAGAACTATAACCTCCACAACAGAACGAATGAAATTATATAAAACCACTGTAATAAGCTATAATCAAATTGGCTAGACGGGGAATCGAATGCTGGCAGTAATGTAGCCTGATGCACAATTGCGCATATAAAAGTTGTAAATTTGCGTTTCACTTTCTATCAAGAAATGGTCTTTGCTCTTACACGGAGAAATTGTTAAGTAGTTTCGTCTCGTCTCGATGACAACTATTTAAAAGTTTACGTTGCAACTGATCTGTAAAGAAAGATATAAATCTGATGGTGACTGAAATAGGATTTACCCAATTTGAGCCGCAACTCATAAGTGCGGTCACAAGAATAATCAAATATCGTTGTAGTTGTTTAATGATGCCATATTTTTATTTATAGTATGAGTTGCTGAGCTCTAACACAGAAAGTGAAATTTGCTATGTTTTGTGTTTTTTCAGGGTGTGTGGTATTGAAGTTGGTCTATTGTGGGCTATATGTATACTCGGCTGCCTGGATATAGAAGTTTCCATCTTCGTTTCAAATCGGTCTCGGTGTAACGTATTCTACTTTCTCCTGGTTCAGCTTGATAGATTTATCGGCTAATGATTGTATTTTATGATAATTTTAGAGTAAGTGTCTCAATGTTTGCTGTACACCCAATGACTTTAAGCCTAATAAAATCCTTTAAAGAAGATTGTGGATGTGTTCTGAATTGAAATCGAAGGACTTCGTTTTTCATAATTATCCCCTCGAAATTGAGAAGTAATCTCTAAGAAGGTGTGTACTCGGTACTTCATGACTATATTTAAATATGGCACGAGGCGTATGTTTTGTTTACTCGAACTTTTCAGCTGCTGTTGTGCATACAAGTAGGTCTAATTGATACAGTTTTATTTTTACTTGTTTATTGTTGTCAGTCTTAATAAAAGTATGAAGGATTACTACATACATGATGTTATTGAGGCAGTAATAATGCAACTGAGATTACAAAGTACTCATTTCTTCCCTTGATTGTTATAAAGATCCAAAAGAATGAGATCCAAGTAATTTTGAAAAATTTAATGTAATATTTGTAAAGATGAGAATATGTAATTATTGTGATTCTTACGATCGCTGGAACGTGCTCATCGATGATAATGCAGCAGGCTATTACACATCAGTAAGAAGTAGAAAGAATGCAGCGTTGTCAATTTTCTAATCACTGAACTCTGGTTTTGAAATAGTTGACGGAAAAGCGAACGCTGTGTGGAGTGTCATGAAATCTGAATCGGCCATTTCATGTTGTATATTTTGGAATTCTTCATTCTTAATCAAAATTCGCTTTGCACACCAGTAGATGGATCGAGAAATAAATACAAATATATATCCCTTATTATTTAAATAGGTTTCATTTGTCATAACGGGCAAACACTCGTTTCTTGAGTTGAATAAAATTTGATCATGTTTTGTGTTGAATTATTTTATTTGTGCGGACAAAGATTTGTCCAATTCCTATGAAAGAATAACAAACCTGATATATCGATGTAGCATAGCGGGCAAACCTTTGTAGCGATGACGATAGTTACAGAAGGCGTTACATTCGAAGTCAGTGGGTTAGAAATTTTAATGGACTGCAATTAAACTTTGAAGTGGCCATTAGAAATAACGTCTCCACATCATACCGTTGCGGTTACACGCTTCTCGGAGAACTTGTGCCATGCTTCTAGAATTATGTTAAAAATAGCGCAACGAAGTCTTCCTCGTCGTAAGATGGGAAGTGTGTATCGAAGATCGGCATTCCATCTTCAGAGATGACTGCAGCTCACTGCGGCATCGAAGTCTGTTCCAAAGTTCTGGTAAGTTCCCCTGATGTTGGACGGGTTTGTTTTGGAGGGTATGCATGGGGCTTCGACAATGTTTTCAATTTTAATCCTGTATCTTGTCTAATTAATTTAGTTACTTCCGTTTGGTGTCGCAATAAATCTGCGTTGTTTCCTGGCACGTACGACCGTTCGCATGCACCTCTGGTAAGGTGAAAGACCGAACATTGTGACGTCCACGTCTGCGCACACTTGAATCGATGCAAGTTAAGGAATTTGGCCGGTTTTAGTCGGCCCCTGATGGGTGGTTTTGCTTAGTGGCGCCTGTCAACGCTCTGTGGCGATTCTGTAGTTGAATTACATAAGCAGCTGATGATAGCACATGCTCTCAACTTCATTCTTACTTGTTTTCATATACCTACAGCGAAACCTTTCGACTTGTAGTTTTCATACATCGACTACTTAAAATATAATTTCTTTAATATTTATTACTCAATTCCAGGTTGACCCCTCGATATTTGCAATTGCAAGTTTGCATTAAAAGCATTTTCACTTGAATCTATGTGAAGCAAAGAAAGCTGTTGGCAGAAATGCTGAAGCTATGATATGATGGTAACTTACTTTTACTTTTTTGGCCTCCGACACCAAATCGGGATGCTATTTTATTTTACGGGACGTATCTTAAATTGTTTTTACTAGAAAAAAATATCAATTCTGCACAGGGCGAATGCAAATGCACTAACGGCTATTTTCACTACTATCTACTTTAACGGACTTCTAATTTCTTCTAGTATATGTTAGGCTGTAAGGCATCTCTATCTCCTCACATTGTAGGCACTCCTTTATCAAATGTCATATTTTTTTATAATAATCAAACATTCATAAGAAAAAATATAAATTTAGTGACATTAAATTTTATAGTAAAAAAATACTTTAAGTATAAAATTGTAGCAGTTTTAATCTATAAATAAAAGATATTATGGTCAGTTTAATTGAAAACGCATACCGCACTTATCTTTGCCTTGTCTCCCGCCCCCCATTTTAAATCAAATCAAAATACAAATGGCTGTTTTCGGCCTACGGTAAATATAGGTAAACCCACCCCATATTCTTTGGAAGTTATTCACTCGTGCGTTTTTACTTATGTAATATTTTTTCGAATGGCTTCTCAGACCATCAGTGGTCCGCCGTTAAGTTAAGAACACAACACTCTTGAGAGAGTCAAAAGCTGTACTAAATATTCTATAAAAAATAACAAATTTCCAAACTCATGTTTCGCTAAAGCAAAAAAATGAAACGCAATAGTTGAATGTATTTTTTTATTATTACCGCGGTCTGAGACAAAAGTACTACGGGATCAATGTACTATATCTCGCTGGTAATTCTAACATTAAAAGTAGAGGGTTACAGGTGTTCTAAATTTCACACGGGCCAAATAACTAAAAACAAAACATTTAAAAATACCTTTCTACAAATATTAACAAATAAAAATAATGTGCTACCATGCTACTACAAATAATAGTTTAAATGAATGCGGATTTTTCCAAGCCACTTCCCCTTATTTATAAATAATACATTTTTTTCAATATAATATGTCTATAACTGTTTCAGGATACAAGATGGCCATGTTGGATTGGTGATATAACAAGAAAGAAACAGAAGTGATAGTAGATACGCAGAAACTACATTCCGCTGAAGGTAATGTGACAATAATGGCCACGTGACAATAATGGCCACCATAGACATTCAAATAGATCAAAAAAGCTAGTTCAAACAGTTTGATTAAATTGACATGAATATGTGTGGGTAAAATTCGATCAAAATGAGTTGCCAATTGTCATGAAGATACATATTATATGAATTTCTATTTGATGGAACTGTTGGAAGCAGCCTGTTTGATCAAATTATTTGAACGTTTATGGCGGCTTACTGTATACTTTTTTGGGTGATTGAAACTGTTGTACAATATTTTTTTTTGTATGTCTTTAAACTAACGTTTTTATATGTATTGTTTAGAGATCAACAACCCGATTGGAGAAGACACGAGACACTTAAGTGCAGAATTAATATTTAGTAAAATGGTGATTTAAATATATTAGGTATTTGTAAATTGTTTTCATAATAATATATATTTTTTAAATTTTCTGTTGTATTTTCATTATTCTTTCTTTTATCCAATTCACAAAACGTGGCTGAACCGTCAAGGCTTTATAGATGCATGTTATATACGACCATGCCATAGAGAACACCATTTTCAAACTCAGCATTATCAATTCCATAATGGATATGATTGATGCGCCAACGCATAAATTAATCACGCTGCCGCCTCGCACTGTAACATAAATAAAAGTATTAGAGAATGAGTTCCAGCCGCTCTTACCGATCAAATAGCATCGATCATTGTGGGTTTAGTTTTTCTAAGATGATGAGATGGGGATGGCCGAGCTGTCAAATATTTGTGCCTGGGCCTCTGGTGCCAACTATGGTTTATGTAAATGAAACCACTTTTAACGAGTTTAGTTTACATACCTAGATCGACATTGACTGATGTCATTGAGCAGATTTCAAAACTAAGGCTACATTAACAAATACCTAACAACATGGATTAAGGTGGATGCTGTAATTAAAGTGCGATAACGTTAGAATAAAATGACGCGTGGTTTAATGAAGCATTAGGTAGTAAGTAAGAATTGTATTTAAGGTAGGGCAGCGGTAGTTAAAGGTGGGGCATAAGAATAGGCCTGCACCCTTCGCAGCCTGATACCCCGTTTTAAGGTAATACTAAAAGAAAACTAGGCATTAACTGGCGTTAGTGTATTACTTACGGATAAAGTCATATGTGTTCAATATTGCGTCTCTGACGACCCTCACTTTTGGGTACGAAGAAATAATTACACGTATTATGTTACGCTCTGTGGACGGCATAAAAGTCTCGTGGTCCTTTCTGAACTCATTATACTCGCAGCTGATGAGGCACCCGCAGTCACGAGAAGACCGCGGTAGACTTTTGTTTGGAAAAGTATTCAAAATGTCATCAGTTGCTGTCAATTTAGTGAACGCCCTTTTGTAGTCTGCAAAACATTGTAATTCAGACATATTGCAAATCCGCTCATTTTCTGAAACAGATATGTATTTTACTGCCTTTTCTAAGGCCTTGAAGGCCTACAAGAGAAGTCAATTAAAATGCTTAAATAATTCACCAGTTGGTAGTAGATTTATCAATGATGGCCTACAACCAGTGTCGGTGTTAGAACATGGAGCGACATAACATTCGATACCTAAATATTTCAGAAATCTTAGCGATTATAAATGCGAAAGTGAATTTGTTTTTTACGCTTTCACGCAAAAACCACTGAACGGATTTGGATGAAAATTTAGTAAGTACATATATAATTTTTGATCTGGATTGTGACATAGAATACTTTTATCCCGGAAAAATGTTGGGCTTAGGCTAAATGCTTGATTAAGTCATGGTTTTACTATATCCATGTCAAAATACAATTTTCTTTTTCTAATAGTTTCTGAGCAAACCTGCGGTCACAGAAACTGAAGGCCATGGCGAAATAATGTTACAAGGGTTCCATGTTGACTTCAGACCGAGGCCCAAGCGCGGAACTTTGACCTCCGTAATTGTATCGCATCGTCAAATTTTCTATGAAAACTAAGCAGCGACCCTATCGGGCGTAAGAACAGGCTCATGGCTCATTCTATACAAAAAATTACGATGAATATATCGATTACGGATTTGTCGAAGTTCGTGCTTGGGCTTCCGTAAAAATGAACACTCACCTAAAGGTTTGTAAAAGTGAGGAATACATTCGCATATACTCAAAACCATCTTGATTCTGCATTCCAGAATGCAATGATTATAGGTGTAAATTGGATATCTGTCATTCAGTGGTTCGTCCAAAAATCTGTAATTCAGAAAATATCCATATGCTTATGTAGGTACAAACAAATAACTTTACTCCGAAAGTTTAGTTGCGAGAATATTTAATGCGGGGAATTAGGTGCGTACCTCAACTCAAATGTCTGCTTTTTTTATGTAAAATCAATTGCAGGCCAACCTGAAGGTAAGGCCGTCATAGGCTAATAGACGCTTGCCCCCGTGCCCCTACCCCTATGTAACTCGAAAGCTTTACTCAGACAGAAATAACACCACCAAAAGGTAGTACTTAGTAGGTTCTACTACTGTGGCGCTTTGGCCCGCGTCGCCACGCAACACAAAACAAACGGCGATTTAATTTCTATATAGGTACATGATTTCTCGAGTTCGACTTTTCTCGAGCTTGGATTTCCCGAGAACAAAGCGCAACGATTTCCAGAATTCTAGACATGAACCCTAGTCAGAATTCTTTAGTTAAAGCGCTCGCCACGTCTTGTGTAGTTTTTGGTGAAGTTAAGGGCATAAATGACTGGTGGAAGGATATATGTATATAGTATGCTGGTCCATTTATAATTGGAAATTCTAAAAACTTATAGCAAATGCCATGACATAATACATAACCTACATCTTGATGCAACACGAGAAAAAAATGTAAGTCTGAATTTTTAACTAGGTATGTACAAAAAAGGACCTTTGCCGAAGCAGAGGGTGGGTTATCATTATGTGAACTTGGAAATTGGGATATACCATACACATTGTTAATTTGAAAGCCGGCTTAACTATGAAGGTAATTTAATTCAACCATCACAGAGAAACCCTAGTCACCTCATTAATTGTAACGTAGAAGAGTACATACTAACCTGCATTTTCGCACGTTTATAGGAGTTGACCTTAGAACGCTTGATAATCTAGTGCTCCATACTTGCACTCCAAACTGTAGGAATCTGTTCCTTTTAGAGATGTAAGATCGAGACGTGCTTAATATGATCTCATCGGGGCTATGAATGTAAATCTGAATATATACGAATTAAAAAATTATGATTAAAATTGGTTTATTTTTGTTATGATCGGTTGATATGACACGATTAAAAGAGTAACAGAATTATAAGAATTCATCATCATCAGCCGATTAACGTCAACTGCTGGACATAGGTCCCCTCAAGGGATTTCCATGTGCAACGATGCTGCACTTTCAGCATCCAGTGGGTCCCCCTGACTCGCTTGATGTCATCCATCAGTCCTGGTGAGGGGTCTACCAACACTGCGCTTTCCGGTGCGAGGTCGCCATTGAAGCACCTTGGGACCCCGAGTTCATCGGTTCGCCAAACTGTTTCCCACCCATTGCCACTTCAGATTGGCGATCCGTTGAGCTATGTCGGTTGTTCTTGTTCTTCTACGGATTTCCTCAATCCTGATTCGATCACGTTGAGAAACACTCCATCGCTCGCTGTGTGACTCTGAGCCTTCTTATGAGGCCTATAGTCAACGCCCACGTCTCAGCTCCGTATGTCATCACTTGCAACACGCACTGTTCGAAAACCTTGGTCTTCATGCATGAGGTATTTCAGACGAGAAGACATGACATAGTTTGCCAAACGCTGCCCAGCCTAGTTGGGTTCGGCAGTTTACCTCATTCGGACTTACCCAACTGGACTGTTTGTCCCAGATATTTCCAGGGCGTCATACGGTCATGCCACACCGCACTGAGGGAAAGTAATTAAATATTGAAGAAAGAAGACATCATTTTATTATTAATATATTAAGTAGAACCGCATCAACAGATTTTTTGAAATCGCCTGCCACAACCTTGATTCAAACTCGTGAAATGTAAAAAAGCATTCATTTTATCATAAAGGGTTAATCTTAAGGAAGTAAGTCGAAAGGGTTAATTCCTAAATAATATAGTATTTAAATGAAAGAAAAATCATGAAATTTAATATTTTATTTTAAATAATTTAATACAAACCACAATAAAAACGAAACTGAGCAAGAGTTTCTTTTAAAATAATTTATCAAATGTTCAAAATGTGATCCATTCTGTAGTATACCAATTCTCACTCTTTTCAAAATGTTTTGCCTGTTGATTAACTAACTTTGCGTGGGGAATGTTTGATGATTATAATAATACGTCTAAGTTCATTTTGTAATCCTGTACACTATCGTATTGGTTCCTGTAAACTAAATCTTTTACATAACCCCACAAAAAGCCAGCCGCATTGTAATTGTGACCTCACAAAGAAATGCATACAAGTACCTTCTAGGTACAGTTTGTTTACGAATCGCTTTATTTTTTTTTTCATGTACCTATAATATCGAAATCTTGTAATATTAAGTGAGTAGGAGGTACTAGTTAGTAAAAAAATTTAAATGATATGTTAGTTGTTGGAAGTACGGAAAAGACAGAAGAAAATTTCCTGAACAATATTTAAATTAAGATCTTCCTTTTATTTAAAATGCTATGTTTTTTAGGAAAAAATTAAGAGTATCCCTTTCGACGGTTAACATAAAATACATCGTGTTTTTTTTTTTCAAATTTCACGAGTTTGATACCCGGTTGTGGCAGGCAATTTTTAAATAATCTGGGAATGCTGTTCTACTTATTATTAAAAATAAAATGAAATCTTCTTTCAGTAAAATATTCTATCCTTAATATTTATATATTTTGTTTAAATATTTATACTTTCCCTCCGTGTGGCATGACCGTGGGACGCCCTGTATATTTGTCGACAATTTCGAGTGCACAGTTCTCAACGATTACCGAGTAGAGCGGAACACGAGCGTTAGGCATAATTTTTGTCTTACTCATATTCATTTTAAGGCCACTTGTTGAGAGGCTCCGGTATATGAATTAGTGTATTGTAATGAAAAAGCATTTTTAGCACGTTGTCGTAGAATATACACATGGATTGATCCTTCAAGAAAATAATCTAAAAATCTCACTCCCTTTGGTTTTTCAGTTTTATATTGAGGAAATAAATGAAAGTTATTTATAAAAGGGTCCGATATCCAGGTACTGTACTTAATTACTTAATATAGAAAATTGTAAAATAACTTTCAGCACTTTGACAGTTTGACTATCCTATAAATGCTTCATTCGAAAATTTTGGAAATTTCGCGCTTAGAAATGGTCTATGTTGTGCATCAAGCAAGCGCTATAATAGTAAATAGTATTTCATCATCAGTCTATTGATGTCTCCACTGTTGGGACACAGGCCTGCTCTCTTGATGAGGTAGTGGGAACGGTTCATTAACCAATACGCGGGCTTAGTGCAAATTCGAGGGTGAACTGCAGATGCAGCCGCTATCAACGGCTTAAAGTGCATTTCGAAGCTAGAGATGATACATTTTAATAAAATAAAAAATATTTTTAATAATTATTAAAATACTACAGGTTTGTACGGAACCCTCGGTGTGCAAGTCCGACTCGCACTTGCCGGTTTTTTTATATTGGAACACATTAAAGGAAATTTTTAAACATATTTACCTTATACGTATCGGAATAATTTGTTAACTGGGTGAAGAAATCTCTATCATAAACGGAAATGTCAATATTGTTTTTAACGTACTTCTTAGTATCCCATGTCCTGAAAACACATTTGTTTCTGTAAATTTCTGTAGTTTTTATCGTCATAATGTAAAATGTACAAATGAGCAAATTTGACCAAATTTTAGTATAGTGTTGACGATTCGGGCATGATTCTCTAAACCTAAACTTAAATTTGATAACAGTGTATCCTTGTCATTCTCTATACAGAATGGAAAGGAGATACTGATGTTAAATTATGTTTTAAGTTTAGAGAATTTATGCCTGAGTCAACACCACCACCTACTAAGTGCGTTGATTGACGTTACGACATGTTATTTTATTGTTTACAAGCTTTTGTCTGAGACTTCTGTTTTAACTTTAGTTTTTGAAAATTCCACAGGAGCCTAATATTTTTTCGGAATAATAAAAATATCGTGTCGCAAATCAGGTAAAAAACTATAGATGTGCCAAATTTTATCCAAATCCGTTCAGCCGTTTTTGCGGGTTTGCCGCGCTTGACGTCGCGCACAGTTGAGCGTGTCTGGGCTCCCCTAGCACATCCTGGCTCCGCTGGCTTAGAAGTGGCTCTATGTTGCAGTCCAGGCCTTATTTAAAATAAAAGATTTAAGTGCGTTTGGCCACAACGATGTTAAGCAACGAGGTGGTCTAAGCTGGAGGACGCAAACTCAAATAATGCCTATTTACTCTTGCCTTGAAGGTATTTACTTAATGGGGGAATACATAAAGGGAAGGGAATTCCATTCCCTAGTCATTAATGGTACACATGATGAAGGAGCATGCGAATGGTGAGGGGTGCTGGGGAGGGAGAGAAAATTAGACCCTGAGGGAGGCTCCGCGCGTTCATGGGGTCTCAGTAGCATGAAGGTTTAGTACATCTGCCCAGATAGCAAAGGGTGGCGGTTTCCCGTCCGCCTAACATGCAGTGTTGCCAACTCAGATTCTTAAAGAGAGCTAGATCGTATCTAAAAAAAGCTAAAAAAGAGCTAGATTTCTTTAGAAAAAATTCTAAATTATTTTTATGTACTATTTATTAAAAATCAATATGAACAACGTTTGTAATGGATTCGGGATCACTTTTCATCACATTTATTTTTCTTCACATTCATATTGGCTAAGGTCGAAACTATTTAAATTCTTTTTTGTTGTAATACTGCACTACTAACCGAGCATTTTAGGAATACTGATATCAGTCTCATCTAATAGCAAACTGATTGGTCCATCGCCTATATCTCTTTTTAATTCGGTTATAAAATGCGGACTTGGAACATTCTTTATGGTAGCACTACATTTTGTTCTGTGTGATTTTAAGTTTTCGGCATCTTTGAATTGTTTTTTACATAGTACCCCAAGGCGATTGACAGGTAATATTGAAGTATGAGCGCTTATAAAAAGGGCCAATGATCCTTCAGCGGAATTTGTCCCAGAATCAATTTTCGGTTTTGGAGAAAAACTTCATTTTAAATATCCCGCTGAAAATGGTTGCGCCACTCTAAGGGTTTTTTTTTCTTTTAATATAATTAAATAAATCACCTTTTTTAGAATTAACTTCGCATTTGCAGTGGGTACCATCATATAATAACTATAGACCGACCATAAACAATATAGGTATATTTTGACTATGGAAACAAGTATTTTGAGCTAAAAATAACACAGAAGGATTTGATTTACTCATAGTGTAAATGGAAAAAAGCTAAAATTGTAGAAAAGTAGAGGTAAAGAGCTAGACCTACTTTTTTAAAGCTAACCAAGCTGATTTAGAGCTAAATCTAGCTCTAAAAACTCCGTGTTGGCAACACTGCTAAAATGGTAAGTTAAGTTTTATAAAATTCTTTACTCACAATGGGTTATGGAATACGGCCACATTGGAGTTGATGACGTGGCACATGCCCACCTCAGTCATGGCGGATTCCACTGATATCGGCCAGTTGGTGCTCGTCGCGAGGGAGTTGTTGTCGAACTTCTTGAACAGCAACGCCGCAAGAGTTGCGTGGTCTTTTGGATAAACGCTCTATGAAAACGGAAAAATTTCTTATATTTACACGTACACCAATTTATTTGATATAACACTTTTCGGACCCTTTAAGTACATGCTCCGAAACCTTAAGAATAATAAAAAGTTTTATTAAAAAACTAGGCGAACAATATTTTTTAATTGCGTGAATGCACAAAATGAATATCAACAGCGTGTTAGCATATGAACTGGCGCTGATTTTCAATTGGATTGCAATTCTTTCATGACACTTGAGCGAACGCCAAAGGGAATTGAATCAAATTAAACCAATAAAATAAATAAAAATAGTTCGAAACATGCTCAGAGTATTAAAATTAATAATATAGATATAATAATATGTCCTATAATACCAGATATAGAGGATCAAAGTAATATACTATTCGTTCGTATTCCGTATGTATAAATGTAGCCGTAGCATTGAATATACACTTAGCTGTAGCAATGTGGCTACCCGTAGTATTTTAGCAGCACATAGCTGTAGCATTGTATCTACACTTATGCCCAAAAGATACATAAGGCGGGTGCGAACCGGGCGCGGGTAAGGACGAGAGTACAACACATACTTCTTTACGTTATGTGTGTTTTGAGCTTTAGCTTTAGCAGTATGGCTACCCGTAGCATCTTAGCTACACCACAGGCTACACGTTGTCGTAGCATTGTATCTACACTTAGCTGTAGCAAAGTGGCTACCCATAGTATTTTAGTTACACGTAATCGTGTTTCGTCATTGTAACTAACCGTAGTATTTTAGCGACACGTAATCGTAATAATAATTGATAATATTGATACGTTATGCCCGGTTTACACATTGTCGTTTACGTGTGTTTTGGGTTTTAACTGTAGCATTGTGGCTACCTGTAGCATTTTAGCTACACGTAGTCGTAGCATTGTATCTGCACTTAGCAGTAGCAAAGTGGCTACTCTTATAGGTCGCGGCACGAAACTCTAGCGTTGACCGCTATTGCTCAGAAGTAAAAATTAAGATGTCTTGGCCCCCCAAACGAGGTGCGCGGGTGGGCGTGCGTTGCGCCGATTGGCTCTTCAGTCGTACCTTTGTGCAGCTGTCCCCTCCGCGCTTTGTTCAGCGCTACGTGTACGTTACGTGCCGCAACCTGTAGCATTTTAGTTCCACGTAGTCGTAGCATTGTAATTATCCGTAGTATTTTAGCTACACGTAATCGTAGTGATGATGGATAATATTGATACGTTTTGTATACACATTGGTTATGGTTACTTTTTTCAGGATGCTTCCCGAAGCTTGTTTTGTGCCTAGCGTATAGTAATAGACTAAGGCCCACTTGCAGTAATTTTGCTAAATCTTAATTTAACTGAAACTAGATCCATCCCATACAATGTTACAATATAAAAAAGGATATCAAATTGCATTGTCATTTTTTTATGGATGACATCTAGTTTAGCAAGATTTAGCAAATTTACTGCAAGTGGACCCAAAAATCGTTCACACAGATTCATCTATGTATCAGTAAATGTATTTTTATCCGTTACTCTAGTATCCTTTAACACAATCTTAACAGAGCTTTTCTTTCTAATTACTGCATTATTGAAATGTAATTGAATTCTGTACCAACTACACTTGGTACTTGAATAATGAAAGTGTTATAGCGACAAAACTAAAGAAAGTAGAGGAGGCCCGGGCTGGAAGTTCCCGGGGTAAATTGTTCCGACAGTTATAACTTTGTAAAGGAAAAAGATATTAATACACGTAAAGTGCGTCGTTTAAGCATGAGCTGATGCGCCGCGCTGGCGGCTGGTGGCCATCTTCGTTGCTCCGCCAGCGGCGGACGAGTGGCTGTATGCACCGTGCTATTAAACACCACGTGAGTACATTTTTTCGTGTTTAGTCTTTTTGGTCTATTTTTATTTATTACTAGTGGCCCGCCTTCGCTTCGCTTCGGTGTAGAGCTGTAGTGTAGACTAAAATGACTCTTCATATAATTATAAAAAAAAACTGAGAATGGTATATTTGCCTTTTCCAAACTTCTATTGTCATCACGTCACTCAATTGTTTTGCCTTCCCGGAACCTTTCCACTAACATTTGAAATTTATGGTATGGTATTAAAGTTCAAATTGACTATTAAGTATTATTACGAATCGTTTATATGGGAGCAAAGAAAAGTGTTGTTTTTGGATTTTTTTAGACATTTTTTTGAAATTTTCTCTGCGTAAGAACCATCCTCGTACTTCAAGGAATATTCTAAAAAAAGAATTATTGAGATTTGCGCTTAACAACACATTCAGCGATTCATTTTTATATTATAGATTGACCGATTTATGTGTACCTATCTTTCCTATTTAAGAGTGGCATTAGTAAGGTATCTTATTGTTTGAATGCTTTTTCAATTGTTTTAGTTAATTTGCTAGTATGAAAGTTTTTATACAAAAACTTAATATGGGGCTCCAAGTTCACTTCTAAAGGAGCTGGTTGTTTCCTGAAACAACTAACGTTTTTTTTATTTTTTAGGATGGTACGTAGTTACAAACGAAGAACTGTTACAGGTAAAATTTCCAAATCGTTATAACACCAAGCTGCCAATGCTGTCATACAAGATGGAAGAAAAATAAAAACGGTTAAATGTATAACTGAAGCTGGTATTATTTATGTGTGTCCCAAATTGTAATTCAGATGAAAAATTGAATTATGAATAAGAATAAAAGTTGCCAAAGTTCATTATGACTGCTTAAACAAGACTATATTGTAATTCCACCAAAATAAAAATAAAAAATTAACGATAACAATAAATGAAAAAAATATGGACGTTAGAAGTTTCGTTTTGTTTTTTGATTAGAATTGAAGTTGTGATCTCACTTGTTATTGTTTTTATTACACTTATTATTGAAACGTTTGTCTGGAGGTTACCAGTTGTGTTATTTAGTTAAAATAAATGCAGTTATGTATATGATAAGAGTTTTAACTTGATGAATCTCTATTACAGTTTTAAAAGAATCTTTTATCTGAAGGTTACCAGTTATGTCTATCTACACAATAAATGTAACTTAAAAATTTACTTTTTTATTTAAAAGAAACCTGTATTATTTTCATTTTTTATTTCTATTATCCAAGCGGCACAATTTGCCCCACACATGGAACAACTCGACCCAACGCGGGGCTGAATGTTCCCTTCCGAAATTTTGCAAAAATATGACTGTGAAAAAAAAACTATTGAGATATCGGCAGAAATTACTATACTTTGAAAAAGATCGATTAAGATTCTTTAATAAATTTGAATATCAAAAATAAAACTTATCATTTTCATCACATAATTCTATGTTATTTGACAATCGGAACTTCCAGCCCCGGTCTCCCTAAAAAAATATTATCTGAGTAAAAACTTACCGATGACATATTGAAATCTGTGTAATCTGTTATTTCCAACGTGTCCGTGGAGATAGAACAGATAGCTCTCAATCTTGCTTCAACATTTTCACCCATGAACTGGAATGTATCGCTGAAAATTCGCCGTTACTGATTGAATTAAAGTAATGCCCATGTTAGCATCCGAACAAACAAGTCGCATGCTTAATGACTGTCCCATAATCCCATTACAACTTCAGCCACACATAGAGGAAACTACCCAATCATTGGCACTCTTCCTATTATTGGCACTTTTGAGTTTAGTTCGAAAAAAACAGGAAACTATAGGTTGTAGGAATAATGCTGCAATTTTTCAAATTTCGTAACCATACTAGATTTTTCTTTTTAATATGTAACGACCTTGAATAATCTATTGTCTCCTTGATTTTTTCGAATTAAACTCAAAGTGCCAATAATAGGACGAGTGCCAATGATTGGGTGGTTTCCCCTAATAGTAGGGGAGCCCAATGGGGGATTTAGAGATTTACTCGAGCGCGGTAGAATAACATAAGAAGAGCAACGTTGTAAAATACTCCCACCAGTTTTACTATCATTAGAAAAATTACTAAAGAAATGACCAGTTGGACCCGACTAAAAGTAATGTTAAATTTTTTTTTGCTGCCCTATACGTTCGAACCTACATAAAGGGCTCAGGTATAGGTATTAGGTAGGAGTACTTTACAAGGTGCAAGGTTACGCGAATCCTCTAGTAGCTCCTTTTCAAAAGACTGACGATTAGGACCCAACTAAAAGTCATGGCCGTTTTGTTGAAATTTATTTTTGCTGCCCTAGATGTTCGACCCCACATAAAAGGCTCACCCAGGCGTAACAAGTGGCCACTCATAACTGCATCCCGCAGTTATGCCTGGAGGGTGAGGGGTAGATCAGGGAGTTGGTTTACCTGGTAGGTACGGGAGCAGGTCGGCTGGCTAGCCGCTCGGACTGCGGTCCGTGAGACTAGTCAGTAGCGGTGGGCATTTAAACGAAAAGCGCTTAAATAAGCGCGCTTAAAATATTAAGCTTGTAAGCACGCTTTTAAGTATAAGCTTTATAAGCTTATCACTTAAAAAGTGTGAGTAAGCTTTTCACTTAAAAAAGTGCAAGTATATTTTTTACTTAAAAAGTGCAAATCCCGCCATCTATGTCTTTGCCAGGAAACTACATACTTCGATCCTTCTAGTCCACTACAGTATCGTAAAATGGGTACGCGGAATTCCTTGGTACTAAATATTTCACAATATCACAGACATAGAACGCGCGACTACAGCGCCGCGTCGGCGTGCCATCTTTCGTGAGCCGGTTAATACAGAATGCGAATTATTATAATGCGACGTAAAAAAATGCACTTTTTTAAAATTCGGTCGGATAACCAACGCTTTTTTCGTTAAAAGCGTTTAATTAAACGAAGTCGAAAAGCAGTACGCTTGTCACTGTGACGGGGTAAGAGCGCGTGGGTGTCGTACGGTGTGTTTGCATGCTTGCTTGACGTGTTAATGCGTTTCGTGTATTGGTTTAATGTGCATATAAAATAGTTAAAAGTATGTATATAAAATCAATGAACTTTTAAGTACGCCTGGATCACGAGTATATTAACTCCAGACAGTCCTAAGCTTGTAAACTAAGAAGGAAAGTTCATTGACTATTATAAAAATGTTTATTATAAAATCTAAATTCAATTGAAAATCTTTCGTTTTTAATGCCAATCAATTCATTAGGTTTAAAAAAATTTTTAATAAAAATTTCATTAATAAGAAGAAAAAACGCAATAAAACACCTAAACACATTAAAAACGACAATAAACTTTTCACGCTTTTTTAAACGATATACCTAAACGAAAACACAACACAACGTCGCGCTTTTTACGCATGCTTTTAAACGTTTAAGCCAATAAGCGTTTAAACGAAACGACAATAAACTTTCACGCTTTTTTAAACGATATACCTAAACGAAAACACAACACAACGTCGCGCTTTTTACGCATGCTTTTAAACGTTTAAGCCAATAAGCGTTTAAACGAAAAAGCTTTTTTTCAAGCGCGCTTATTTTAAAAAGTACAACGTTTAAACGCTTTTAAGAAATAAGCCGTTTTTCCATCTCTACTAGTCAGGTGACGCTGTGAACGGAGAAGCCCAGGGACTGGCTAAAGCGGGTGCGGGCCGGGCTGCCGGTCGGAGGCGGGGTGGTTAGACGTATACCACACTTGCTAGAGTGCACGTCAAAGAATACCCGCACCGACTAGCGGCCCTCGGGCTGCTCGCCGCTTGCCGAATGCACCACGCAATTACCTGCGTCGCGAGGGTTTGTTAATAGCAAATCAACGCGGCGTTGGTTATTGACGTGGATATAATTCATTTTTTCTCCCCGTTATTGGAACAAGGCGGTATGGTGGGAGTACTTTACAAGGTGTATTCCCCTTGAATTCTGTAGCGGTCGAGTAAATCTCAAAATTATCGATTGGTCTCCCCTACTATAAAGCTTGTATCAACATGTGAAAAATGCTGGTGCATCAACACCTTACTTTAAAATTTGACAAAACCAAACACAAGCCTGTTTGTATAATGTAACATAAGGCTTTCGTTAAAAAACTCAAATATTTAGAATAACTTACTTGACAAAAACGTACAAGTCCTCCTCTTCAATTTTATCAAACGGACATACAGTGATGGCAGGATAAGATACGTTCCAGTTAAAATAGTCCATTTCCACGCTTGTCACAGTTGGTGTGTCCTGGTTGAAAGAGAAAAACTTATACCTAGTCATTAATTCAGAAATGTATACATAATAAAATATTTACTGTAATGACTGCTTACTAACAAGCAGAACCCTGAAATTAATTTATGGACATGTATTATACTTTTCGTATCATAGAATATTGTCAATTCACTATTCGGCCGAACAGCCATCAAAATAAAGGCATAAACAATGATCAAAGTAAAAATCTTGTAGATTTAGGGTCAAAGTTAGCGGCTTTCTGATTATTTTTAATGGGCAACTACGGAATCCTTTATTGTGGGCGGCTTTACTCGTTCTGGGCCGGTTTTTACCGGGTCTTTAAAAATATTACTTTTTTTTGAGTTTTTATGTTAACAGTATTTTTTTGGTTTCCTGTCATTTTTTAAGTCGACAAAATTAAAATTGTGCTTTCATGTCTTAAAAATTTAAAACTATTCAACAGATTTTTAGAAACTTGGACTGTTCTAGTGAAGTACTTAGTAGTACTATTCGATTTATAATTTTCCGATCCCAAAAAGAATTACAAACACTGTATCAAATTGATAACCACTTTTGTTTTTAAAAGATTCTTCAAAGATTAACCTTGTTAGAACTTTTATTCCGTCCGTTCTAAACTCGCGGAATCAAAAGTGAAATGCAAACTGTTTTTTGTGATAATTGTACGCTCACGATATAATTACGAAAGTAATTATCACAATTAGTTTCTCACCTTATATCTTGCATGTTGCTTTAATATGAGGTACACGATGATGCCGAGACTCAATAAGACGCTAACCGCCCAGAAGAGACTAAGAAAAGATAATAAATATGTAACGGTTTAATGTAGTCAAGTTTTTATGTATACAATTTTTGTTTCACCAAATATTGAAATTAAATTATTCCCTCTTATTTATTTTTAATGTATAATTACGATCCTTGCCGACATATAATTTATATAATAATATAATAAAAAGAAAATTTGAAAATTTAAATATTTATCAATATTATCGACTTCTACAGAAACAGTCATTTAAAACATGCCACTTATGGCATTGTAGATAAAAAATAATCGTGTAAGCAATTAAAAAGGTCTTCACTTTGTCTTAAATTTCATGTTAATTACAACACAAGGTAATCTGAGAATATTTACTTTCATAGGTTGCGCTTTTCTAAATTTTCGGGGGACAAATGTTCGCACATCGTGTGCATTGAGTACGTGACGAGTTCTTGACGGACATTTTTTTCACGATTCAGGACAAAAGTCCTTCGCTTGCTTAAGTACAAAGGCCCTTAAGTAATTCTGTAAGTAATGCTCGAAATGAAAAAAGCTCGTGGAGTTTCTACGCAGATGCTTTATTTAAATAAATGGAATTTTCTCAAATTGTTATAAGAAACTTTTAAAACAAAGTTAACAAAAAAATCAATGAGGGATTCGCGCAAGCAAAACTACCGCGATAACATTGTTTACCTCTCGGACCAGTGTATATCCGTGTTTACAATGTAAGGCAGCCCGTGAGTGGTACAACTTCGTAATTGGCTTCGTAAATAGTTGATTAGTTTCTTTCTGCTCAGTTTGTGAGCGTAATTATCGCGTTTCCTTTGGATGGAAGCCTTGTGTTCCTTAATTCTCACCCCCATCACTATCGATGAGTTCGGAGCTTATTCGTTGTTCTGGGTGAGTGACAACGGGAAACGTTTGATTGGCTTAAATAGACAAGGACCAGCGACGGGCGTTCATAGAGTAGCTTTTGTTATTTTTTATCCACTGTACAAGCAGCTATGCGAATGTAGTAAGTACTTACATAGGTATTAAGTTAGGTTAGGTTCGACGACCTCCGTGGTCGAGTGGTTTGGGTTCGAATCCCGGTGGGGGCAGACGTTTGTGTGATGAATACGAGCATTTGTACTCCAGTCATGGATGTTTAATATGTATTTCTATATAAATATACTTATATATGTACTTTATATGTATTTTGGGGAAGGTGAAAATGCATTTACGCACTTCCCACGACCGTGCCCTGCCGTGGGGGTATGTGGGATTCCACGGGGCATACTTCACGCCGCGCCGCGACTACCCACTAAAAACACCTCCTGCGGTTCCATCTTCACACGATGGGGGAAGGGTATCAGCAAGCCTTTGCCCCAGACCCCAACCGTGAAAGCGCCCTCTCGGACCCTCCTCTTTGCACTAACTCCCCTTGTGTGCATTGGCACGAACCGCGGGACGTTCTGGACTCGACTCGTTGAGGAATCTGTCCGTCTCTCTCTAGGGGCATCATCAGGCAGATTGGCCTGGATAGTATGCCCTAACTCGATGGGAAGCCATTTATAATGCGGGGCTAGTTCTTCCCTCCCGCGGGGCCACCTATGGGGCTACAGTGGCAGCAAAGTTGCGCCTTCTGCGCCCAGTTCGACGGCGTCTCATCGGGGCGGCTGAGGGGTCCACCTCTCGGGACCGCTCCTCTGTCTCCTTTTGGGCCATCACAGTCTCGCAAAATGTTTTTGCGGCGTCCCATGCATTCCTGTCGCCAACGATAGCCCTTACCACCGACGGCAGCGACAAATCGCCCCCAACTGCCCTCATCAACACCGCTCTTTGTTCACTCCAGGCGGGGCACTCAGCCAGAGTGTGCTGAGCTGAGTCATTGGCCGCACCGCACTGGTGACAGATGGTGGTTGGTTCTCTTCTCGCGATGTTGTGCAGATACCTCCCGAAACAGCCGTGTCCGCTGAGTATCTGCACCATACGATAGGAGAGCCCACCACCCCGTCTGCTTAGCCACTCTCTTAAAACAGGACGCACTGCCTCGACAACTCTCACGCCTGCCGTCGGCTCCTCCAATCTGGCCGACCACTTGTCGAGCGCCGTCTCGCTGGCGTCTTCCCTCCAGGCTCGGATTTCCTCGAGCATCGGAACACGATCCTCCGCCTTGGCCTCCGACGATTTGACGTACACGTCTGCGTACACCTCGGCCTCCAGATCCCAAGGGACTGTACCGGCAAGTACGCAGGCGGCCTCGTAGGCGATCGTGCGATAACCTCTGACCATCCTCACCGCCATGACTCTTTGCGCCTGACGTAGCAGGGCCTTGCTGCGGTTGGTGAGACAGCCACTCCAAATCGGCGCTCCATACAGCGCTACCGAACGAACGACGCCAGCAAAGAGACGTCGACATCCAACATCCGGGCCACCAAGGTTCGGCATGAGCCTACTCAAGGCCATCGTTACCCGCCGCAGTTTCGGCGCGAGCTGGACAAAATGGGGTTCAAAACTCCACCGGCTGTCGAGGACGATTCCTAAATACTTTATCGTCGACCCGATACCAATGGAGACTCCGCTCACAACTAATTCCGCCCCCGCCGTTGGCGCTCTACCCCGGCCGTAGAATAGCACTGCCTCTGATTTCTCTAAAGCCACTCTGAGGCCCAATCGCCTGATGCGTCCGACCACATGAGCCACTCCCGCCGTCGCGAGGATGGACGCGGACCTGAGGTCTCTCCCTCGCGCCGTCACCAGGGTGTCATCTGCGTAGCAGAACACGTTGACACCCTGGAGGTTCGATCCTCTTACGACCCAATCGAATCCGATGTTCCACAGGAGCGGGCCCAGTACAGAGCCCTGTGGAACACCTGCCGAAACAACGTGCTCTCCCCATCCCTCTCTGGTCGGAAAAACGACTGTACGCCCCTCCAGATACCTCATCACTGTTTCCCGTAGATAGGACGGTACTCGGTGGTGCTTCATCGCCTCGTTGATGCAGGCGTGCGGGAGAGTGTTGAAAGCGTTCGCGATATCAAGCGACACCGCCAACAACACCCTTCCCTTTGACACCTCGTCCTCGGCAAGGGCCCTCACTCGCGTAATGGCGTCGATGGTGGACCTGCCCCGCCGGAAGCCGAACTGGTTCTCACTAAGATTCGGCCCTTCTGTACCAATGTGAACGAGTATACGTTCTGCCATCACTCGCTCGAAGAGCTTGCCGGCCTCGCATAAAAGTACTATAGGCCTGTAAGCCGATGGCGAGTCTGCCGGTCGCCCGTCCTTCTTGAGAAGCACCAACTTTCCCAATTTCCACCCCTGCGGGAAACGCCTCTGCGTCAGGCACGCGGTAAGTAGGGCGCGGAAGCGGGGTTCCAGGCCATTGTCTAGGGCCATCACCCAGACTTTGCCGGGGATGCCATCCGGTCCCGGGGCTGTATTTTTCCCTCGCAGCTTATCAATGGCCGCTGTCATCTCCGCTTCAGTCACCTCCGGAACTACATCGCCTGCCTCCTCACTCTGTGACCCCGAAGTAGTGATGGGAGGCGTGATCTCCTGGTAGGGGGGGAACAGCGCTAGCATGGTTCTCCGGAGCGTCTCGGGATCCAACGTGGATGTTAGTGGTGGAGCCCATGGGCGAAGTTTTCTCATTACCAGCCGATAGGGGCGACCCCATGGATCCCGGTCCAGTGTACCAAGCAGTTCGACCCACGCCCTCTCTTTTGATGCGGCGATTTCTGCTCTTAGAGCCTTCTTGGCCTGCTGGTATTCTTCGTAGAGTCGTTGTTCCTCATCCTCGTCATTGCGCCTGTTACGCCTGCGGTATCGCGCGTGGAAGCGCCTGGCCACTCTGCAGATATCCCGAAGACGCGTCAACTCCTCAGACCACCAGTATATCTGTCTGCGCGGAGGGACAACGCGGACCCTTGGCATAGCAAGGTCGCAGATATGCGTCATCGCCTCGCCAAGCCGGGTCGCTTCATGGTCAACCGCCGCAACATCCTCAGGCTCCGGGTTCCAGGACTCTACCAAGGACGCCGACACGAGCGCGTCCTTATCCAGCTGTTTGAGGGCCCACCTGGGACCGAACTCCCTAGGGGCGCGATTTAGGCCAACCGGGGCATGCGCAGAGGGAAGAACATGGTATCGGATGTACAGATGATCCGACAGCGTCTCCTCCCCCGCGACGACCTCCCAGTCTTGAACACGGCGTGCCAAGAGCGGGCTTGCGAACGAAACATCCACTATCGAGCCGCCCTGTCTCCGCA